AAAGAAAAAATAGTTGAAAAATTAACAGATTGTCTTGATTATTTTGCATCTTATTGCCAGGACTTCCCTCCTTTGGAAAAATGCGAATACAACCAAAATGTTAGTCATAATCCATATAGAGAAATTAATATATCCACTCAAAGTGGAGATTCGAAATTCAAGAGAAATAACTCTCTTGCCTCTGAAGGGGAAAAAGTCATTAACAAATGCCCACAACAGTCGCCAGTCCCTTTGGACAAACTATTGGAAAGATTCAAAAATGGAAAAGGAACCGTTGAGACCAGTTCTCAAATTTCCTTAACAAAAGGTCCATTGCAACCACCTACTCTTTCGAGTAAATTGCAAGATTATAAAAGTGGAAAAGGATCCACTCACCTTTTAAGTGAAACATCCTTATCAAAAGGGTCCATTGGAACAACCCACTGTAATAAGTGAATTCCAAGAAAATAAAAAATCTTTTGGAGACAAAAAATCACCAAGAGGAATAATTACAACTCATCATGTTTTAACCAATCTTCATCCCATGAAAATGATTATTATGAATTTTCAGAATGGGTATATAATTTTAGAGAATGAGTTTTTCTTTATCTCACAGCCCTTCCTACGGCGATTTACCCAAGGATAAGTGCTATTCAAGGAACATATTTGACCATTATCAGAAAATTAGCAACATTTGGATTCCTTGATCGACTCTTCCCAGGAACCGATCTTAAGGAAATTGAACAATTTGATAAAGAATTTATCAATTGTGTTAAGAAATATAGTGATAAACAACCAGTGAAATTGAGATTCTACACCATCAGTCTAGAGTATAAAGAACCATAATGGTATGGAGAACATCATCTGATCACTATCAGAAAAAATAATGGGAATCATCTGAAAGAGATTCAAATTATTAAGGAATTGCCAACAATCAATAAAAAATGGATGATTTACAGACGAGCCCTTGGAATCAAATCAGTTTGTTCAATCATGCAATTTTTCTATGGAGAAAAATATATGGTGTATGGAATGAGTAATAATTGGATCCTTATTTGCAGAGGAGATAAAGAATCAAAAATCCTTGAAGATAAGATTTGTGAAATCTTAAATGACTAATTTGTGGAAGCGAGGAATGCATCAAAGAATTTTGTAGATTGATGGGACACGTCCACAGACGATAAGAAGAAACCAAGACAACACAATGTGAGCTGTAAAGAAAAGGACAGCTGTTTAAAGCTGGAATAAACACAAGTACTTTAATTATTTCAACCACTTTGAAAAAATTATTGTACTATTACTTTTTTGTTGTAATAATCCGATTGGCCAGAAGCTTCTCGGTGAAGTGTGAGCCACTCTATAAATTGAGACTCTTTTCATTTGAAGAGGTATGACAAAAACAACCACTGAAACTACCACAAACCAGCTTGAAATGATCTTTGTAATATTCTCATTAGAGAGTAGAAACCACTCTTCAGAGTATCAATATTTGTAAAAATCTTTGTATAATAGCTTTCAAGCTATCATTATATCAATAAAGTCATTGAGTTTGAAATAAATCTTTTATCATGCTTTTAAGTGTTGTTCTACACAGTGAGTCTGTTTGAGAGTTTTGAGTGCCTTTGTGTCCATTTTGCTGTTATGCTGTCGGACTGTGGCCAACTCTTATGACGAAGGTGACCAGGAATATATAACATTCTTGCTATTTGGCGAAATGTGGTAAGGCCCTTATTTTAAGCTATAAGGAAATTTATTGTCTGAAGATTTGCATGAAAATTATTATATAAGAATTTTGATAAGATTGTATATTCTGAGGAACTTTTATTATGGAAAATTATGAATTTTATTATAGACTTGTACCTTTTAGATATACTAATAATATTGATTATAGTCACATGATAGAAATTCCAGAAACTTATGATAGTTATACTAGATGAATAAATTTCATAAAAAGAGATATTATGAAAAATGTCTTATAATTGCATCATTTGGATTAAAAGAAATATTACCTAAAGAAATAATAAAAATAATTATATTCTTCTTGTTAGATAGTGAAAATAGTGAAAAAGTTTTTGAAACAATAGAAGAACAGCATAATAGTTATAATGAAGTTGCTGAATTATATGATTTTGATCTTAGTTTTGACGACAGAGAATAAGAAAATGTCTGGAATAACTAAAAAAATTTGTGATGATAAAATAAAAGATTTAGAAGAACAAATAACTAATGATAATAGTAGAGAAATCGAAAAAGAAATTATTAGTTGGTATAAAGTTAGAAGAGAACTAATAGAAAATGAAATTAGAAGACAATTAAGACAAGAAGAACAATTAAGAAGAGAAATAGAACAAATAATAAACAATATAGTAACAAATCCCTTAAACTTACCAGACTAATATGAGTTTAACCATAAAAATAAGATTTGATAAACAAGAAATAGAAAATATTAGACTACCAATAGGAAGTTATCAAACTAAAGGATGGAATACAACTCTGTTTCAACCCTTAAGTTCATGGGGAAATACAGATGTCTTGTTAAATATGACTATAAATTGGACTAATACATTTTTATGGCCACAATTAGGACAATTAAAATTTAAAGACATAAAAGTTATAGATGAAATAAATAATATCGATCCAAAAGATGAAATAGCTAAAGAAAGATTAAAAGTTTTAAGTAAAAATACATCTAAACAATTTAATAAAATTAAGGAACAAATTAATAATTTAGAAATGCTTGATGAAACTAGACTCGAAGAAATTCAAAATCAAATATCAAAAATTACACAGAAAAATAGTATTAATAAAATTGCAACATTAGAAGAAAAAATAGATATTATTAATTATAAAATTGATATTCTATTAAATAAATTAGGATTTGAAATTGACAAACCACCTTACAAAAGACCTAAAATATGAGTATGAATGATAAAATCAATTTAATTGAAAATAGTATAAAAACAATTGATGAAAAAGTAACTAGAGTCGAAATAAGTTATGAAGAAGAAAAAGAAAAACTACAAAATAATTTTTAAAGAATAGAAAATCTTTTAAATAGAATAATAGATAACTTAAACAAAAAAAAAAACCATTTAAACCTGATTACACTAAAGAACTTAAAGAAGTTAAAAAGAAAATTAAAAAATACGAAGAACTTATAAAACTTAATGGATGATTAAAAGAAGACATTGAAAGATTATTAATTGATCTAAGAAAAAAAGAAGAAAATCTTATAGAAAAAGAAGAGGAAAAAAGAGAAGTAGAAGAATAATGAACGAAGATATGGAAAATTTAATATTTGACCTAGAAGATTTAAAAATTTGTGAAGAAATAACTAAAAATCATATGGTAGGAAGAATATGAGGACCACGAGCAGTTAAACAAGAAGAATATGGAAAAACTAGCACAGCTAGATATGAAGCAGAAATAGACCTTAGAAGATATGTTAATACAAAAGTTGATTTTAAAACTATTAAAGAAAAAATGTATAGAGACCAATTCAAACCAATATTAAGAGAATCAAACCCAATGAAAATTGCAGGATCATATTTAAATTTAGATTGTGAATTAGATGTTAGAAAAGCTATAAATGAATGGAGTACTAATATGATAGCACACTTTAATTATAATCGAAGTAATACAGATAACAAAAATAGAACTGAATATCTATTAGCAACTTTTAAAGGAAATGTAGCTAATTGGTATAGAGGTTTAGAAGAAACAATAAAAGGTGTTTGGAAATATAGTATTGAAGCAGAATTTGGAATTAGCATAATAGAAGGAATAAATAGAGTCGCTACAAGAATTTATAGAGAATTTGCAGGAGAAGACTAGGTAAATGAAAGTACTAAAGCTAGATTAAAAGAAATAGAAGATGGTAAAAATAGAATGAAACATTTACAAATTTGTAACATGTGTTATCTTAATGAATATTGTTGTGAATATAGTAAATATTATTATATGATGTTTGGAAGTGGAGCTGATAATAATTATTATAAGGAAATATTTATTAGAAAATTACCACCACAATGGAATAATTATTTTCAAAATAAGATTAAAAAAAAAACAAAGAAATCCATTGTTTGTTAATTTAGGTTTCAATTAGAACAAAGAAATCCCTTAATTTTAAGATGGAACCCCAATTCTTAACAGAGATACCCCTTCCGAAATTATAGGATTATTTTATCGAATTCCTTAAAGAGAGTTGTCACGTACTTCTACATATTCTGTATCTATCCACTTGTGTCAATTTTGAGCATAGATGCCATTTTGTTTAAAGGTCGTTTGAGTTTTTCTCGAAAGTATGGAGTAGGTTACTCGGGCGGTTGAATTAATCATTTTAATTGTTTTAATAGATTAAGTAAAGCATCAACAAGTAATTTGCAGTGCATGCTTTGAACCACTTGATATATTTTCGAGAGTATTCAATCAAATAGTAAAATCCGTGAAAGAGATAAATAAATAGCTTTTGTGTGCATTTCTTCTTGAAGATGATTGAAGATAAATAAAAACGTCGTCGTCTATTCATCTAAAGATGATTGAAGAACATGAATGGACAATTTTATTTCTCGCCTGTCGCTTGGTTCAGACTCGGTGGAGAAAGAAGACCTGGCCACTGGTAAGCCTCCGCCGCTGCACTTCTGACATCTAGTAATCACCACATTCCTGTGGCAAGAGGGGCAGGAGGAGTGAAGCCCTAGCCACGTATCAATGCATTCAACGTGGAAGCCATGACCGCACTGAGGAAGCACTCAGAGTTCATCTTCGGCGGCGAACTCCTCTAGGTAAATTGCGCAGTCAGAGAGGTTGTCGTCGTTGGCGGCAAGGTCAGCTTTGGAAGGTACTTCAGGACCTTCTTCTTTAGGCCATTGTTGGCCGTCACAGCATTGTCGGATGGCGGCTCAACGACGGCAGTGTTATCCCAGAGAGTGAGTTAGAATCATAATTGAAAGCTAAAACAGCAAGATCATGAAGATAAAATGATATTTCATATCTCATATTGAAGGTTACAATGCTAGTCATATTTATAAGGAGTACTGGAGTAATAAGCAAGCTAGAATCTACAAAATAGACATGTGAATCAATATTGTTACAACAGATCAATGTGGTCCCAAGGATGAGTCACCTTCATCTGAATGTGCACTACTAACGGTATAGAGCTTGTGCTAAAAGCAAGGAATCTTGATTAGGTAAATAAGTATCACTTAATGATGGTTTTAACATCCTCCCTCAAGCTGGAGTTTCATTCATTAACTCCTAGCTTGTCTTTCAGAAAAAGAAATCTGGAATTGGAGAGAGGTTTGGTGAGTAAGTCTGCAATTTGATAAGAAGAGGGAATGTATTGGATCTTTAATTTTCCCTCAAGGACTTTATCTCTCACAAAGTGTATGTCAAGTTCGATATGTTTAGTTCGAGCATGGTAAACAGGGTTAGAAGCTAATGCACTAGCACTTAGGTTATTACACCGTAGAATAGGGGATGAAACATGCTGCAATTCAATTTCTTTAATAAGTGACTCAATCCAACTTATTTCAGCTGAAGCCTGTGCAAGTACTCTGTATTCTGACTCAGTATTTGATCTAGCAACAACCTGCTGCTTCTTGGAGGACCAGGCGACTAAGGTATCACCAAGGTTGACACAATACCCGGCTGTAGACCTCCTGTCATCTGGGCAAGAAGCCCAATCAGCGTCTGCAAAGCCTGTGATGTTTAATCTGGTACTTCTTTGAATCCATAGGCCTTATTCCATGGTCCTTTTAAGATATCTGAACACTCTCTTTGCTGCCTTCCAGTGAATATCAGAAGGTGTTCGAAGAAATTGGCTTAGCTTGTTAACTGCAAAATTGATGTCTGGTCGTGTGTGTGCAAGGTATGGAGGCCACCAATGGGACTTCTGTATAGTGAAGGATCGGTCATCTTTTCACCTTCATCCTTGGAGATGCATTTACCTGATTCAAACCTTTTTACCTCGATTCCTAAGAACTGATGTAATTCACCCAAGTCTTTGAGAGCAAACTGTGAATGTAACTTATTTATGAAACATTGCAACATTTTCTGATCATTTCCAGTGATGACGATGTCATCAACGTAGACTAAACAAAAGATCACATAGTCTTTACTTAAGAGGAAGAAGAGGGATCTGTCAGCTTTGGATTTAATGAACTTCCAGTCAAGCAGAGTTTCTTTCAGTTTTCATACCATGCTCTGGGGGCTTGCTTAAGTCCATAGAGAGCTCTTTCCAATAGGCAAACAAACGTTGGATTTGATTTATCAGTGAACCCCTCTGGCTGTTTCATAAACACAACCTGAGTCAGCTTTCCATTAAGGAAAGCATTATTGATATCAACCTGCCTGATACTCCATCCTTTAGACATAGTTAATAGTATTATCCTTAGGGTAGAGGCCTTAATTATAGGACTAAAGGTCTCATGATAGTCGACACCAGAAGTTTGTAGAAAGCCTTTGGCAACCAACCTTACCTTGTGTTTTATAACATTTCCTTCAATGTCTCTTTTGAGTCTAAAGACCCACTTGTTACTTATGACCTTCTGATTTGTCACCGGTTGTACCAGCTTCCAAGTTTCATTCCTCATAAGAGCTTTGTACTCTTCTTCCATAGCCTCTTTCCAGGCTCTATCAGATAAAGCTTCAAACACATCATTTGGTTCAAAATTGCTTAGATCATTGTTGGGATTCTTGCAAAATGTAGAGTAAACGTTTGGTTTAAAGATCCCCACTCTACTTCAAGTAATCATAAGATGTTCAACATGTTGCATTTTATTCTCAACTTGTTCCTGACTTATTTGATCATTTGACTCGGTTGGTTCATCCTCAGTACCTTCAGTTCCATTACAAGGATCATTTTCAACTGCTTCTGGAGACTCATTTTCAATTTCCTCTGGTGGATTTGAACTATGAGATGTTGTTGGTTGGGTTGAACTAAGATGAATTGTATCAGATGATCCTGCAAGACTGAAATCAGAAGGAATGTTGAGAGGAAAGTATTGTATGGTAGTTTCAAAGGGATGACTGATTTTGTTTAGAAAACCACGCTGAAATGGGAATTCATTCTCATTAAATACAACATGCCTAAACAAATATATTTTTCCAGTAGGACTAAGGCATTTATAGCCTTTGTGAGAGTTGCTGAAACCAAGAAAGACACACTTAATGAAATGAAAACTAAATTTGTGAGGCTGATATGGTCTCAGACAGGGGAAACATGCACATCCGAAGACTTTTAGTGATTTGTAACTGATTTCTTCATTGTTCAGAACTTGGCTGGGTGTCTTTATTTGAAGAACAGGAGTAAGAAGTTTGTTAATGAGGTAGGCGGCTGTGTGAAACGCCTTCCACCAGTAGTACAGAGGCATACTTGCCTGAGCAAGGAGTGTTAAGCCTGTTTCAGTGATGTGGCGATGCTTTCTTTCAGCTTTGCCATTTTGAAAGGAGGTGTAAGGACATGAGAATCTCATATGAATTCTTGATTGAAGAGCAAGTTCAGTGAAAGCTCTAAACTCGCCTCCCCAATCAGATTGGAGAGTTTTGATTTTTCTATTGAATTTGTTTTCAACTAAGTTCTTGAATTGGACGAAGGAACTTAGTGCTTCAGATTTGGCTTTCATAGGATATATCCATGTAAATCTACTGAAATCGTCTATGAAGAGAATATAGTATTTAAAACCTGATGTTGATTGCAAAGGGGTTGGACCCCAAACATCTGTGTGAACCAAGTCGAGAAGTGCAGTAGAGAAAGAGGTTGAGAGTTTAAAAGGCAGTGAATGAGCTTTGCCAAATTGACAGACATCATAGAAGGGATGAACTTCGTTTATATCAAGTTTTTCATTACGTAGTTTGAACACTTGAGACATTACAGAGATAGAGGAATGACCTAATCTCATGTGCCATAACTTTAGGTTAGACAAAGACTCTGTGAGACCTTTTGACTGAGCAACAAAAGTGGAAGAACTAAAACTATTTGAGTGATTAGATTATAATGCAGGAAACTGAGTGACTTCATTTGAGGCAAGGGATTGAGTAACTTCATCTGGTAATTTAATCTGATATAATCTATCCTTAATTCTCCCTTCTAGTAGTAGCTCCTTCGTTCCTTTGTCCTTGATAGCACAATAGTCAGAGTGAAATTCCATGAATACTCTATTATCAGAGGTTAATTGAGAAACACTTAGTAAGTTTTTTTTGGAATGAAGGAACTAGAAGCACATTATTAAGAACAAGTGACTTATTGTTCCGTGCATTAAGGTGATTTGTGCCAATATGAGAGATGGAAAGTTTGTTACCATTTCCAACAGCAAGTTTTTGCTTACCACCATACTCCAAAGCTTCAATCAAATTTCCCTTTTTAGCTGTGACATTATTTGTGGCTCCTGAGTCTGCATACCAAGTTGGTTCTGGAGAGCTATTTTGATAGTGATAATCTGGTTTGGCACCTATGTACCTTTCATCATAACGGTTGAGACACCTAGCAACTGAGTGATTATTCATACCACAGATTTGACAAGCGTTTCTATTTGTGAAGAATTTGCCTCCTCTACCTCTGCTTCTGTTTCCTCTATAGTTATTGTAGTTCCTGCCATCATAATTAAATCTTCTTTCCTTGGAGGTGTTAGGACTGTGGATAAAATTTTTTGATGCTTCACTTAAGTTAACTGATGCCAGACTATTCTTTAGGGTACTTAGGTGCTCAATTCTGCTTTCATAAGTCATAAGTATCGATTGTAACTCATGTCAAGTGATTGATTCCCTGCTGTTGATTTGGACTACAATAGGGGTATATTCATCATCTAATCCAGCCAACACTTGAGTCACAAGGTCATCGTGGAATGATTTTTCCAGCTATTTCGAGGTTATCCGCCAGTTGTTTGATGGGGTTGAGATATCTGTCAATGCTCATTGCTCCTTTTCTAGTCCTTTGGAGTTCACTAACAAGAAAAATAACCCTTAATCTATTCATAGCTCCAAATATTTTAAGGACAGTGTTCCATAGATCTGAAGACCTTGAGGATCCCATAACTCTCATTGCGATTTTCGGTGTCATTGAAGAATACAACCAGCCCATCAGTAGTTGGTCTATTGACACCCATTTTCCAAACTCAAGATTAGGCGCCATCTCCATTGTAACTCCAGTTGAACCAGTGGTCTGAGTTGCAAGAAACTCAGCCGGGCAGCTTCTTGTTCTTGTGATGAATCCTTCAAGATTATGGCCTTTGATGATTGGCATTACCATGTTTTTCCAGAGTAAGAAGTTGTTTCGATCGAGTTTGACCGGTGGAACTTAGGTTAGAGTTATCCCAGGTGTTTGCAACTAATTTCCTCCCAACATTGGAGGCATCAAGGTGCTGGAAGTGGGCTGTGCCAACTGAGTGTTATCGTTTGATCCGGTGTTGGCCATTGGCTCTGATACCAAGTTAGAAATCAGAATTGAAAGCTAAAACAGCAAGATGATGAAGATAAAATTATACTTCTTATCTCATATTGAAGGTTACAATGCCAGTCATATTTACAAGGAGGACTGGAGTAATAAGCAAGCTAGAATCTACAAAATAGACATGTGAATCAATATTGTTACAACAGATCAATGTGGTCACAAGGATGAGTCACCATCAGTTGAATGTGCACTACTAACGGTATAGAGCTTGTGCTAAAAGCAAGGAATCTTGATCAGATAAATAAGTATCACCTAATGATGGTTTTAATAGAGTGAGATAGAAATACATACAGAAGAACTCGAAGACGAGCACCGTGAATACGATACAGAGCTGTATACCGACTTGAACCAGCTGCGCCAACAGCGGTGAAGATGGTGGAGGCAACATAGGTGGATTTGTGCCATCAGGAAAACGTGAACCTCCAGCCATGTCAATGAATGCGAATTGGAGTGTGCTTTGAGTTTTAACTTTTAGTTACAATTTATCCAACTTTAAACAGCAAAATATTTCCATAATTTCGAACGTCACTATCAATGCAGCAATTATTAAACAGTATCAATGCATTTATAGAAATTGAGTTTAATATTATTTAGGAAAATTCTAATTATTTTTTTCTTTGCCATATTTGTTTCTACAATGTAATCTTTTGTTGTTTTCCTTGTATCTTCTTTTAATCTCGAGCTTTCATCCTTCGATTTTTACCTTGTAACTGTTTCAAGAGTGTTATTGTTATGAAAGAACTCTGTTTGTGGATTAGAGATCTATTTTCATTTCGAAATCCCTATAAATAGGCATATGCTTGACTAAAGCCAGATTTTGGAGGCCTTAGGTCATTTTAAATATGAGGCCCTTATAGATTTTTTTCAAAATTAATATAATAATAAAATAATATTTTTTATTAAATAAAAATACTTTTAAGTCATAAATTTAATAATCTAAATTCCTAAATAATCTAATGCTAGTCTACATTAATCTATTCATTTTTCTTCAATTAGCCCATTAGTATTGCGTATATATTTACAAATAATACACTAATCTGAAAACTAATAGTGGAAAATTTAGTAGCCAAGATATATGCTACAAGCTATGCTTCTTACTACTTTATATAGTAAGATTGCACAAGCCTAGTAACTATTTATGTTCGACTAACTCTCATCCTTAGTCGACATTTACGTATATATTCCAATCACAAGTTATTCCTTCGACAACAAATAGAATAATTGACATCAGAGCCCTTTAGGTATCACAATATTTTTTTAAGGATAACATTGATACCTACTAGCTAAATCTATAGCACGACAAATGTTAGGACAAATATATATCATATCATACTCTTAACTCCTAACTGCACTAGATATGATTCTCTGGATATCTTTCTGTGCACTTATGAAAACACATACGGTCGTCTTCCGATATAAAAGTATTAACAAGGTCGTAATTCTATAGTTAAAAATATCTAGAGTCTTTATAGTATAAAATTCTTGTGACAGAGTAAGAAGATTACAATAATATTTTTAACATAAAATATACGATTTCCTAAATTCATGTCCTTTGTCTCAAAGATTGAGGACAACCATTTCAAAATGGTTTCAATACACTCATTCTAATGTTAAGCCAATACAATATCATCTCACAAGCGCACATGATGGACTTATCCATTTGAAATGCACAGTTTAAAAAACACAAACAAACTGACCCAACCTATTCACCATATCTCTATTTCATCTTGAAATTTTGTTTGGAGCTTATCAATACTCTTGTCCATTTGAAATGCCTTGGTAAGGATATCACTACTGATACCTGGTTTTGATTTGAAAACTGCATTTGCAATGGTTATAACACTCGGATTTTGACTAGTGAATTAGCATGACACGGAAAACAAACACGTAGCCCTTTTGAAGCACCTTAGTACTGTGGTGATTCTTGGGGATTGAAATGATGCAGCCAACTTGTAGAGAACCTTCAAGGATGGTTAATATTTATGTAGCTTGGGGTGAGTGTGAGAGGATTGATTCCCCATGGCACATAATCAACACGAGTTGTTGCAATGCGGAGTGTGTTGAGTCATGGTAATTGTGTTAGAGTTACTAGTAATGTCAATTGGGGGATGTAGCTCAAATGGTAGAGCACTGACTTTGCATGCAAGAGATTAGATGTGTCAATTTGGCTTGCCGACTTGGGCGACCCGTGGTTTGGCCTAGAAAAAGCTCGAGCAGTCCCTGCTCCTGGCTCGATTCAACCAAGCCGAGGCTTGGGCCAAGCCCCATTTTGTGGCATCGGCCCGATCCTGCTCGTGTAGCTTGTTGAGCCACACTAGCTGGCTCGTGTCACAGGTCATTTTCGAATGGCCCTTGATGAATTGATCCCAAAAAATTTAAATAAAAATTAAAAGTTGCCCATGTCAAGCAACTGCAAATTGTTCATTGACATCCCTACGAGATGCACGAGGTTCAGATAAGTATTTCTCCAATTTCAATATCACACCAACACTTTAACAAAAATTTTTTTTCTATAATTCTTTGTTTTTTAAACCCCATATACACGTGCGCACGTAGTGTAAAATGTTGGTTTTGGAAACTATTTTTAAGAAAAATAAGCAGAAGCAAGAACAATCGCATTGTAAGATTTTTTTTTCTTTTTAATCAAACAATACACAAGCGACATGTCATTAAGGAATAGATTAAAATGATACCTACGATCGCCTAGGATGTAAATATTGAACTCCTCCTTTAAATCATCAACCTCTCAAAAGCTCCACAATTCGTTTTCGATGTATCTCCGATTACAAGGAACGAACGAGTAGACGTTTTAGATTTGGGACACACTCATTTTATGTTCTCAACACAATAGACAAAGTGAGAAGAAGAGAAATAACTCTAAAAAAGGTATTTCATGTAAATTTATGTGTTCTGTGCGTTCTTTTCTAAGTATCCAATGAATCCTATTTATAGTTGAAAAATATAGCTTTATTTTAATTTTTTCAATTAACAATTTCATCAAAACCACACTTATCACTAGGATGAAGCGATGTCACTTGAATGGGAGAATTTTCTCTCCCATATACTCTTATTAGATAACAATTTCGATAATTAGCTTTTAATTATTTATCATTATCCACATGTAATTGAGTTTAAGTGGACGCTCCATGTTGCAGATAATAATGTGATCATTATCACATTATTTAATTAACTTTTATTTATTTATCATTATCCATATGTGATTGAATTTAAATGGACACTCCATGTTGTAGATAATAATGTGATCATTATCACAATGTATAATTTCATATTAATTTGAATAATCATATTATTTAAAAATAAAATTAATCCAATTAAATAGTATGTGAAAATCAATTCAGAATTTATAACACTAAATTAATTAATCTAATCCAACAAAAAATAGTGTTCATGTATTTTAACGGAGCCAACGAGAAGAAATGTGGACAATATGATTATGCAACCAGCTAAAATATAAGAAATGTTTGAAAATAAAATGAATTACCAGTTATATAACATAAAATGTTCATCTATTGTCAACAAAAAGGAAAAACTATTCCAGGCGGATCTAGCAGGTACGGCCGCCCGGACTTTCCGGGTAATGAATCTGCCACTGGTTGAGCCTCATACTCCAATATCAATAAATACATCACATGTTTTAGGGGCCGATTTTAGGTATACATAAACCTCCGTTATGGGTAAACAACTATAATTGTGTGTTTGCTCCTTGTGTTTTTGTTTTTGGGATTATTATTGCTTTCATGATTCATGGCTATTCTTTGCTGCATGATCAGAGGCAAGGTTCTACCCAGTCTTCGCCATCTCCAGTTTTTTTATATTTTCTACTTTCACAGGGAAACTGTTTGTGTAATTTTCTTTATTGAAATTGGAAGCAATCTCTTACCTTTGATTAGATGTACTAGACTGTGTCTAAGGAACATACAATTTTAACGAGCAATATATACAAACTCTCATTAGCAGTCAAGGCAAAGTGAGGACAAAGAATAAATTTAAATTTCAGTAATTTTCCTTACAGCATTAGTCGACCCTCTACGAATTTATTAGCGTACAATCGGATAGTTTCCACCATGTAGTCGAGTATAAAATTTATTAATTACTTAATTGCATCTTGCATTGACGAATCTAAAGAGTGACTTGAGATGTCTAATACATACTAAACAAGTGAATTACGTGAATAAAACTAGCAAAACCAACTAATTAATCAAGCCATATACTTGATAGGTATTAAAATTTGTTTTTACCTCAATGATTAGCACAACAAAGCTAGTTATTTGCATAGATTTGAGAACTCGAAAATTGATAATATTTTACAAATACTTAGAAAAATAGAAAATGGCGTTAACTAGAGCAGAAACAATGCCATCCGTAGTCCATGTACCTCTCCAGTCCAGCCAACAACTTGTTTGAATGATAGTCGACCATTTCTTGTTTCCCGAAAGGGGCTTCTGATTTCAGTATTTAAAAAAGTCAAGATATGGATATTAAACAATTAAATTGACAAAGTAAATTTAAATGTTTACCTTCATTTCAGAAGTTTTCTCTTGAATCTCGTGACATAGATTGTTGTTGTCACGTACATCCAATTCCCAACGTTGTTCCACCAGTTGAAGTAGGAATGCCTCCAAGAATGCTTGAGGACTAGAGTTGTAACAACTACCCAGAATCCAGTAATAAAACCAAAGGCCATGCAGATGTAAAAGTCACGCGTTATAAACCCATCATCATCTTCAAAACTATTCCCCTCTCCGTGATCAATAGCAGAACCGTCAGAAATGTCTCCTGGACACTTAGCCAGAGGCTCTCCACAAAGTTGGCTATTCCCAGCATATACAGAGGAGTTGAAGCTTTGTAGTTGAGTGCCTAAAGGAATCTTTCCAGTAAAATTATTGTACGATAAGTCCAAAACGTCGAGAAAATTTAGATCTGCAAGGCTATTTGGTATTTCCCCTGAAAGCTGGTTTCTAGACAAGTCAAGACTTTCTAACATCTCCATTTGACCAATGTTCGAAATAATATTTCCCGTCAAATGATTTCTAGATAAGTTCAAAAAAACTAAACCTCTTAAAGCAGAAAACTCTTGAGGAATAGTTCCAACAAACTTATTTCCTGATAGATCAATGCCTTTCAAAAGTCCTACTGTTCTCCATTCAGAATCTTGTCCTTTCCATTGAACAAAAGCACTGTTGACATAACTACTGCCAACATACACAGTAACTGATAGGTTATCAAGTTTAGATTGTGCAGCATTTTCAATTGAACTATTCTTCTGAACTAAAGCCGTAAAATTGTTTAAACATCGCAATATTCTTCCTGAAATGTTGTTTCTAGAAAGGTCCAAGACATGGATATTGGTAAGGAGGCAAATCGTGGAAGGCATGATTCCATCAAATTCATTAAATCGGAGGCTAAGAAATGTCAGACTTGTTAAGTGAGTTCCTATCCATGCTGGAATATTACCTGTTAACTTGTTTCCTCCCACATCAAGCATTCTCAGCCCCCTGCAGTTCCTCAAAGTCGAAGGCAAGTCACCAATGAAATTATTGCCACGCAAGTGTAATACTTGGAGCATATCCAAAGTGCCCAAAGTGAGGGGAATCTTACCTGAGAACTTATTATTTGCCAAATCCAGAACAAGTAATTCGCTTATGTTCATCCAGCAATTGGGAACCTCTCCTGCCAATTGGTTGTCTGAGAGATCAAGCGTGTGGACGACGGATCCCTTAGGAATTGTGCATAAGTGAAAAATGGATCCCGAAAACATATTTTTGGAAAGTTTTATTTCTGTATAATAAAAAAGAAATAATGGAATTGGACCTGAAATATTATTGTAGCTTAAATCTATAAAAATTTGAACAGTCGACTGTGAGGGCACATTAGGAATTTTACCCCTAATATTGTTATGAGAAAGATCCAAGATTACCAAAGAAGACATATTCCACAACCAATTGGGAATTGCATCTGATATACCGGCAAAAGAGATATTAAGCCCTTCAAGAGTTTTCTGAGTTTGAATCCAATTTGGAAAATGAGGTCCCAAATGACAATTGCCGAGGTATAGTGAATACAATTGAAAAGGAGGAATCCAATCTGAGCTCAAATTGAAAGTCAAGGAGTTCAAGGATAAATCAAGCTCTCCTAAGTTGGCAAAGTTTGAGAGGTGACTTTCGGTGATTGTATCTTCCAACAAATTTGAAGACATTCTTAATTGTCTGAGATTGGAAAGTTTCTCAATACCTTCAGGCAGCCTTTTTAATTGATTGTAAGATAAATCTAAATAACCAAGAACTAAAGCTTGCCCAAGGCATTGTGTGTAAGACGCATTCAACTTATTGTTACGAAGGTCCAAAGATGATAAGGATGAAAATGTGGTATTATCTGGCAAGAGACGATTTAATTCATTGGATGATATATCTAGTGTATGTAAATTACGCAAAGAGCTTGGAATCCCACCGTGCAACTTATTGTCATTCAAAGAAAGATCTTCAAGAAAAAACAATTTCCCAAAGGAATCAGGAATATGACCCTCTAATTGATTATAGGAGAGGTCAATGCATTTAAGACTTGCACTAATGTTAAACATCCTGCTTAATGTGGATAAGGAAGTGAGATAGTTGAAGGATAGGTCGAGGATAGATAGTTGGGATAAAGAAGAATTGGTAAAGATATCAAAAGAAAGCACTGGGTTGGGAAGTTGACAGCTTGCTAAGTGCAGTACCTCGAGGAAAGGGAACCTTGTTATGTGGTGCAACCAGCTGGTTTGATTTATAAGGTTAACATCACTCAAGTCAAGAAATGATAACGAAGAATGATGAGAAAGACAATCAAAATTCTTGATTCTCAAATTGTTACCACTAAGGTCAAGAGTATTCAGATTTGTAAGGTTCCCAAGTTCGCAAGGAACTTCACCACCGAAGTTTGAGCTTCTGAGCATCAAGTGCCTTAAGTTCCTGAAGGAACCAATGACTCTTGGTATTTCACTTCCTCCAAAATCATTACCACTCAGGTCCAAATAATTCAAATGTTGCAACCCAAGCAGTGAGAGGCTAAGCTTAGCCTTCAAACGAAGAGAAGACTTACTTCCATTTGCATCCAGCTTAAGTAAAATTACATGACCAGTTCTGTTGCTACAGGAGACGCCTTTCCATTTGCAACATTCCTTTTTATCTTCTTCACTTCCCCAAGATGAGAGAACGCCATTTGCATCAACAAGGTCATGCTTAAACTTCAGAAGAGCTTGTCTTTCCCTCTCTATGCACCTAACTTCAGCAGATACTGAATTGAGCTTCATGCACAGTGAAAGTACAAACATCAGCACACTCAATAGTTTCATGAATCTGTTAATCTCCATCATTTTCTCTGATATCATGTTTATAGTAATTAAAGATGATAGAAGTTTTTCAAGTACTGTGTGCTCAAGCAATCAAATTATATATGAAGATGTCTGTCCCACAATGAAGTAGACTATACTACAATTTCTCATAGCGTGCATAATGGTCCATAACATGTGGTCTTCGTAAACATCTATCATGGGGCCTCAATTACAACACAATGTCACTCGAATCAATGAAGCGTTCAGATTGAGAATTTCGGTTTTTTAGTTGAATCTTACATATAATTATTGTCGATTAAGAGACTGATTCACTGATATTCTGATATTAATCTGAAAAAAAAATCAAGTGAAATATTCTAATATATGATTTATAAGTCATAATTCAATATGAATTATTTTTTTTAAAATAAATATAGCACAAGAATTTATGAAAAAATTTAAACGATATTTTTTATTTCCTACCTTTGACTCTCTTCAGATATTTTTTGGTCTGGATCGTTTGTTAACCGACTTAATTGATGCTTGTTCGGGTTGTGGAGAGTTGTTTGAACAATGATGACTGTTCTGAAAATGTTCGAAGTGTGTTCAAATGGTTACAGAAGAATCTATAGTCACATCATTTTTTCTCTACTCTGAATTTCATTCACTCTCTCAAATTCTGACACTTTTTTTATGAACTGTAAGCAATTTATTGAGTTCGTTTGAACTCTTGCAGATTGATGTGCTACTTCTGTATGAGATGAAATTCGTTCTGTCTTGGGAGACAATTGTTGTATGCCTTTAGCACCATTGAAGGGAGTAAATTCATTTTAAGGATACATCGTGAAGTCTGTGGGGCTCGAATTATCATTTTCATCATCATATTTCGCTGTTCAAATCTGTTCAAGTAAATTTGTGTGTGCTAAGTACGTTCAAATTGCTCAAATGAGGAATTTATACTCCACAAACAACAATATTCTCTTTCTTGATAACAATCCTATTTTTTATTGTTCTAAAAAATAAAAGACCATTGCTCACTCATCCACAGAAGCTGTGTACCATACTCTTGGCTCTTGTTTTACAGAGGGTTAATAATCTTTTGAAATAGCTACATATTCAGTTACCACATCGATTGTTGTATTTTATGACAATATAGATGCTACTTATCTCATGTCAATTCAGTTTTTAATTCCCGAATAAAGAGCACGGCAATTGACTACGACTCCATCTAGAATCATAAGTTAATTAGCTCTTTCAGCGTTTAGTAATAAATATCATCAAATGATCGCATGTCAAACGCTCTTAACAAAACTACCATCAACTGCAAAATTCACTCACCTACTACCCAACATTGAATCTCCGAGAGTGGTTATTAAGGATGTTGACCCTAGAAAATGAGTCAACGGATGTTGAGCCCACTCACGCCAAGTCAAGCACTATTTCAATGCGTTCCTACTGTATGCTTAATATTTTCGCTTGCATTCGTTATTTGGTGCCGCATCACATGTAACGTAACTTATTTCATATCAATGAAATTATTGTTCAATTAATATTTTTCTCTATACGTCTTGTATCGTGCACAATGGGCTACAACATGTGGTCCACATATACATCTATTCATTAGCCCAAATTCCTTTTAGTGTGCACAATGGGGTAGAAAACTTCATACACGTCTATTCATGAGCCTCGAGTACAAAACAAAGTCACTCAAATCAACGAGGCCTAGATTGAAATACTAAGGGTTTGTTTGAACTTCATTTTTTAGGAAAATAGATTTTGTGATAGGAATTTTTTGAAGAATTTATGGTTAAAAGTAGAAAAATCTTGAATTTACGAGTAAAATTATTTTATTGAAATAATATATAATCGAAAATAAGTTTAAAGATAAATGGGTTTATGAAAAATAAAGGGTCTCAAAAAAGGACTAAATATAATAAAACACTATATTTTATATAACAAAAATTTACTAATGTATTTTTAAAGCCCCTACTTGACCCCCATTATTTGAGGAAAATAGATTTTTCAATAATGATTTTTAGGAGAATTTGTGATTAAAAATAGAATTTTTTTTTTTTTGGGTTTATGTGTACAATATTTTATTATGTGAATGTGTAGTTGAAAATATGTATATATAAAAAAAGAATTTAAAAATAATAATTGTCAAATAGGGATTTAAATTGTTTCAAATTCAATCACATCATAGTTGTCAATGTTTCTATCATTCTCAATATGTCGGAGGGAAGTTCAACACGGAAAGACTTTTCTTAAAATTCACACACATTGTACACGGAAAAAGACTTAGGTTTCACAAACTTTTTGAGTTACCGTGCAATCATTATTTATATTTACAATGAGAACCAAAAATGGTTCAAGTTGAAAATAAAAATGCCTTTACACACCAACATAATTTCACATCAATTGTGTCACACATGTATACTAAGTTTATATAATGGTTTATACACACATAATGTGGTAAGATATAATTGGGTCAAAATTTCTTTAATCAAATAGAAAAGAAAAACTTTCCCACTTTTTAAACACTTCAAATGTATATAAATCATTATGTAATTAATTATGTACAAATAGCATTATTCACTTCACATAGCAAGACTCAAAAGACATTTGTTATAAAACATTGTTAGTCACTCAATTTTCAACAAAATTTCACGTTGGTCACCAAATTATATTTTTGTTGTGAAAAAATCATTACAGTTTGCCATTTATTTCAATTTGGCCACTCGATTATTATTTATGTTTTCTAATGCAAAAGACCCTAATGTTAGCACCACGATAGATTATTTTCATCTGCCATACCAAGCATTCGATTAGAAAAACAAATTTAAACAAGCAACCAAATTGAAATACAAAGCGAACATTAGTCAACTCAGTCAAGGTCTTTTGGGTAGGTATCGGAAAGTTGAGGACTCTTCTGAAAAATAAATAACTATGTCCAAATTTTCACAAAAGTTAGTTTCATGCAAAGAATTACTGGGAAAGACTTGACTCCCACATAATTCATTTTTTGAAGTACAAGTTTCCCCAAAATTGTTCTTTTTGCATGGAATCCATGTTTCCATGATTGATTATACTCCATATAATATTGTTTAGGTCATTGAAATCAAAATTGTAATATGTGAATTAACTATTCATTTCATTCACAATTCACTTGCCCATTTTCTTTTATGTTTGATTCAGTAGAAATGGAATAATTTTTGGAAAGACCATCCAATCCCCAATAATGCATCCAAAAACATTATGACTTGTTCTAAGGATTAAAAACAAAAAGACTTGACTTCACAATGTTGCTCTTGTTTTATTTGAAGATTCTTTGTAAAATTTGGTAGTGGATCAGTACCCAATTATACGTTTATTCATGTGGTTCACATTAAAGTCTTTACCATTGAATTCACCATTGTCTTATTAATAGTCTTCCAACTTGCTTGAAAAGACAAAGCAACTTGCTGTGGAAAGAGAAGAATATAATTTTTTTCCAATCAACCTTCCCGAAAGGACCATGATGTCTGCCTTTTAAATTTACACAATTAAACTTATCTCCCCTCTAATAGCATAAAATATTAGATAAGGTGGTTCAACGACTCTCACTTAGGGTTACCGAAAAATGACTCTCATTTCATATTTGTGAACAGTCTCTAGCACAAGGCCAGAATAGCATAACTTGACATTTTGTTTGTAGTAATAAACGATTATTTCAGTTTGACGGTTCAATTAAATTGCATTAAGTTTCTAACAAAATGTATATTGCGGGAAGATGCTCACGTTAGATTGCTATCTACCATGTCAGGCATTCGATAAAATTTAAACTAGCAAAAAAATTGAAATACAAAGCTAACTTCAGTAGCCACTTTGGAATAGTAAAGTTTGGATACCAATATGAAATTCATTGTAAGCTGAGTGACTAACAACAACAATTTAATCTTAGAAAACTTTTGTCCAACTAATGGGACCACTAAAATAATTAGTCAAACCAACTTATAAAACCCAATTTTTCCACCGCAAAACAAAGATATTTTTCAAAGTTTAGTGAGTGATTGAAGAAGATTCCTTACGTGACAATTTATTAACGGTGTGATGGGCGCTACATGTGCATTTCGTTAGCCACATCGCTAATTCCATTTAAATCAGACGTTTTGCCGTGAGTAACTTTCAACTTTTGGATAAATTTAGTGATAAAAACTCGACATCTTAAATTTCAGTGAGCAATCGAAGACACAAATATAAATTCAGTGACCATTATGACAATAAACTCAATAAAGTGTTGGGAGATTTATACCCTATTCTTATACCAGCGGTTGTAAATTCCTTGCGCGGGGATCTATAGCTTTCAAGAACAGCGGGAAAAAACGATGTGTTCCTTGCGTTCCTTTTCAAAAATAGTAATTAGGCATAAAAAATTCGACACCACCTAGATTTTCAATCGGGGATGCAAACATAGTGACCCTAAAATACCTTCTGCGCTATCTTAAAGGCGAAAAACCTTTGACAGTCCATGAGTGGTTTATTATATCCTTGTTTGATGTAAAACTCAATTTTTCCAATAACTAGAAGAATAGTTTCATCTTAGTAGTGTTGGTTACCTAAAATTGATTTTTCAACTTGTTTAGCAGCTTATATAAACAAATTATTCACCTAAGATCACTGAAACCACTGTCATTCCAACTAATTAATATAAATAAGTTCATTATCCATATCAAACAATCTGAACAGATCTCATCTTTACACCAACTAATGACAGTTGATACATACATTTCTATGCCAACTCTTTACAAAAAGCAAAAACAATGAATAATAGTGCTACTTTATCAAAGTCCTCCATAAACAGGTACTGAACGTCCTTCAATTCCTCCTTTCAACTTTACCTTTTATCTTCTACAACAGAAGCCGTAAATCCGAAGGATGTCACAAAATGAAAACAGGTGCTGGTGAAATTAAAGCTTACTGTTAACTAGATGTGTCGACTTCCTTCCCATTATCTTCCTCACGAATATGTCTTGAGACCTTTTATATATACATGCTAAATCTTAGTTATGCCTCTCCTTAGTTTGTGATGCCTTGTTGTTTTACCACTTTAACTATATAGAGAATTTCCTTTATCCAACCTATGAGATCTTGATCATAAAATCCAGTAAAAACTTTATTAAATCATAAAGAATATTCCATATTTATTTGATTGTTAGTAATAAAATTTAATTTGGCTAGCCACTTGAACTATATAGAGAATTTCATGATGTATATGCCCATCACAGACCAACTTTTATTCTCCACTTAATTTTATCTTCAAAAAGTTGACGTTTGACAATAATTTATGACAATATTAGGTTTCAACATTATCTCGTTTTAATATCTTGCCTGGGGCTTTAATTGTTGGATGTATATCAAAATTTCAGTTCCCGTGCCACTCCAATATTTGGTGTATGTTATATATGTACAAATTATTTGTAAATGAGCAAGTCGGTGACTCTCAGGTTCCGGATGATATCTTGGAGGAAGCCAAGGCAGCAGCTAAGGCCGCGCTAGAAGAAATGGACGCGGATTAGTGTGTCTGGTTTTGCTATTTTCATTTGAAACTTTGGCTATATTTTATCCTCTGTCAAACTACAGTTATGTCAGTAATTGGATTTAGATACTTGTATCATTGTTTTATTTATGTTTCCAACACAATGCTCTGTTCCTTCATTGTAAGATCTTTTGTATTGCACTCTTATTACATAATTCCTGAAGCTCCCCCTCTCCCAAAATGTTTGTCCCACTTTAAACTAACCTAGAGATGTAAATCTGGGCCAAGCTGTCCGTGCCCAAAAACCCAGCCCGCCTCTGGTGAGTCAGGTAGCTCAGCCCGTAGGTAAAATGTCGGCGGCTACCCCCCCCCCCTCCCCCCTTCCAGGGCGAACCTAACTACAAGCTTAAACTTCAGGTCTTCAGCTTCCTTGACCTTCGTCCCTCGTACATTGTTTTATTGCTTGTGGAGACATGTTTTTGATAAACAATTGTCGAGAACTGGTCACTGTGACCGCCTGTGTGAAGAGATACCCCTTCCGAAATGATAGGACTATTTTATTGAATTCCTTAAAGAGAGTTGTCACGTACTTCTACATATTCTGTATCTATCCACTTGTGTCAATTTTGAGCACAAAAGTCATTTTGTTAAAGGTCGTTTGAGCTTTTCTCAAAAGTATGGAGTAGGTTACTCGGGCGGTTGAATTAATCATTTTAATAGATTAAGTAAAACATCAACAAGTAATTTGCAGTGCATGCTTTGAACCACTTGATATATTTTCGAGAGTATTCAATCAAATAGTAAAATCCGTGAAAGAGATAAATAAATAGCTTTTGTGTGCATTTCTTCTTGTGTTATACTATAAATTGAAGGTCTAAAAATGTCGTCGTCCATTCATCTAAAGATGATTGAAGAACGTAAATGGATAGTTTTATTTCTTGCTTGTCGCTTGGTTCAGACTCGATGGAGGAAGAAGACCTGGCCACTGGCAAGCCTCCGCCACTGCACTTCTGACATGGGCAGAGGAGTGAATTCCTAACCACGTATCAATGCATTCAACGTGGAAGCCATGACCGCACTGACGAAGCACTCGGAGTTCATCTCCGACGGCGAACTCCGCCAGGCAAATTGCGCAGTCGGAGAGGTTGTCGTTGTTGGCGGCGTAGGTCAGCTTCGGAAGGCACTTCAGGACCTTCTTCTTCAGGCCATTTTGGGCCACCGCAGCATCGTCGAATGGCCGCTCAATGGCGGCAGTGTTATCCGAGAGTTTGAGATGGAAATACATACAGACAAACTCGAAGACATGCACCGTGAATACGATGCAGAGCTGTATGCCGACTTGAAGCAGCGGCAGCGGTGAAGATGGTGGGGGCAACATAGGTGGATTTGCGCCATCAAGAAATTGTGAACCTCCAGCCATGTCAATGAATGCGAATTGGATTGTGCTTCGCGTTTTAACTTTTAGGTACAATTTATCCAATTTTGAACAGCGAAATATTTCCATAATTTTGAACGTTGGTATCAATGCAAAAATCATTAAACAGTATCAATGCTAATTATAGAAATTGAGTTTAATATTATTTAGGAAAATTCTAATTATTTTTTTCTTTACCATATTTGTTTCTACAATGTAATCTTTTGTTGTTTTCCTTGTATCCAGGGATGGACCCAGCGTTGAAATTCAGCCCGGACAGACGTTGACCGGTCAACGTCGACAATGTCCATTCTTAATTCTGAGAACTAGAACTAATTAGATTTTAACTAGAATCACATTAAACCAACTAGTTTGATCCAATTTGGGTGGTTCCAGGTTCTAGAGAATACAGCAACAATTCTAGAGAAGTACTATAAAATTCCTCCTATGAATCAAATCCAAAATTCAGAATACATGAAGATAATGACTTTATTCTCAATGTGTGCATTTGCATCATACAATTATAAAGCAATGTATACATATAAAGCAATATATCTTAACTTTGAACATACTCCAGAAGGATGACATAACTCACATAGCAGAGTGAAAAATCTGGACTATATCCATCTTTCGAAAATCAGCATTGCAGCCATTCTTCACTCAGACTGAGAATGATTATCAAGGAACATAGGCATCAACAATCATCTCGAAGTCATCAGCAAAGAAATCAAACAATGCACAACAGCACAAGACAACAAATTTACTGATTGCAATTTGCAATTTCCAGAAGAACCAAGTAAACCTAATTACCTATCACATTATCATCAGGGCTGGACCGGTAAAGAAAAGAAATCAGACAAAAGAGTCTATTTTTGCATTTCAATGCACTTAAATTTCATGATTTAACAAATTAAAAAGTCAGGACCAAAATAATTCAAAAGCACTTAAAAAATGACACCCATAATGCCCAAAAACAACTTACGATTTCAAATTCACCAAAACTCCCGACGGACGGACGGAAGCAGCCACGGACAGTACGGTAGCAGCTTGACGGCGGGCTGGCCAGACTGGTGGTGTTGGGCTGGTGGCAGGCAGCAGCGACGGGCGACGGGGCGAGAGAGAGTTCAGAGATTGGAAATTAGTGAAGTCGTGAAGATGAATCCTCAATTTGGGTATGGATTTTGATTTTGGAATGAAGGCCTCAAGATTGAAGTCATTTGGTCTTGCCATTGGGCCTATATTATTAAGGATTGGGCCCAGAACAAATGGTCCAATCCAATTACAAAAAAAATGATGATTGATGGGCTGGGCCAAATTGAACCACTTTCAAAACAAAAAAAAATTATGGGCTGGGCGCCTAGGTCAAATTGGCCCAATTTCACAAAAAAAAAAAAGTAGAAGGGATGAAGAAGATGAATGAGTAGGAAGCTGCCGGCGAAACTCCCAACTGCAGCACTGCTCCGACGGTCCTGCGGAGACCAGCATGCGCGGCCGTGCCCCCTGGCCGAGTGCCGGGTCCGTCTTCGCTTGTATCTTCTTTTATTCTCGAGCTCTCATCCTTCGGTTTTACCTTACTAATTGTTTCAAGAGTGTTATTGTTATGAAAGAACTCCGTTTGTAGATTAGAGATCTATTTTCATTTCGAAATCCCTATAAATAGGCATATGCTTGACTAAAGCCAGATTTTGGGGGCCTTAGGTCATTTTCAAATATGAGGCCCTTATAGATATTGTTCAAAATTAATATAATAATATTTTTTATTAAATAAAAATACTTTGAAGTCATAAATTTAATAATCTAAATTCCTAAATAATCTAATGCTAGTCTACATTAATCTATTCATTTTTCTTCAATTAGCCCATTAGTATTGCGTATATATTTACAAATAATATCCTAATCTGAAAACTAATAGTGGAAAATTTAGTAGCCAAGATATATGCTACAAGATATGCTTTTTACTACTCTATATAGTAAGATTGCACAAGTCTAGTAACTATTTATGCTCGACTAACTCTCATCCTTAGTCGACATTTAGGTATATATTCCAATCACAAGTTATTCCTTCGACAATAAATAGAATAATTAACATCAGAGCCCTTCAGGTATCACAATATTTTTTTAAGGATAACATTGATACCTGCTAACTAAATCTGTAGCACGACAAATGTTAGGACAAACAAGCTGACCCAACCTATTCACCATATCTCTATTTCATCTTGAAATTTTGTTTGGAGCTTATCAATACTCTTATCCATTAGAAATGCCTTGGTAAGGATATCACTACCGGGTTTTGATTTGAAAACCGCATTTGCAATGGTTATAACACCCGGATTTTGACTAGTGAATTAGCATGACACGGAAAACAAAAACATAGCCCTTTTTGAAGCACCTTAGTAATGTGGTGATTCTTGGGGATTGAAATGATGCAGCCAACTTGAAGAGAACCTTCAAGGATGATTGAAATTTCTGTGGCTTGGGGGTGAGTATGAGAGGATTGATTCCCCATGGCACATAATCAACACGAGTTGTTGCGATGCGGAGAGTGTTGAGTCCTGGTAATTGTGTTAGAGTTACTAGTAATGTCAATTGGGGGATGTAGCTCAAATGGTAGAGAACTGACTTCGCATGCAAGCGATTAGAGGTGTCAATTTGGCTTGTCGGGTTAGGCGACCCGTGGTTCAGCCTAGAAAAAGCCCGAGCCATCCGTGCTCTTGGCTCGATTCAACCGAGTCGAGGCTTGGGCCAGGCTCCATTTTGTGGCATTGGCCCCGGCCCGAGCCCGAGCTTGCTCGTGTAGCTCGTTGAGCCACACCTTGTCACAGGTTATTTTTGAATGACCCTTGATGAATTGATCCCAAAAAAAAAAAAAATTACAAGTTGCCCGTGTCAAGCAACTGCAAACTACTCATTGACATCCCTACGAGAAGCACGAGGTTTAGATAAATATTTCTCCAATTTCAATATCACACCAACACTTTAACAAATTTTTTATTATTTTTCTATAATTCTTTGTTTTCTAAACCCCATATACACGCGCGCACGTAGTATAAAATGTTGGTTTTGGAAACTATTTTCAAGAAAAATAAGCGGAAGCAAGAACAATCACGTTGTAAGATTTTTTTTTTTCTTTTTAATCAAACAATACACATATTAACTTAAGCGACATGTCATTAAGGTATAGATTAACATGATACCGACAATCGTCTAGGATGTAAATATTGAACTTCTTTAAATCATCAACCTCTCAAAAGCTCCACAATTCTTTCTCGATGTATCTCCGATTACAAGGAATGAACGAGTAGACGTTTCAGATTTGGGTTTGATTCACACACTCATTTTATGTTCTCAACACAATAGACAAAGTGAGAAGAAGAGAAATAACTCTAAAAAAGGTATTTCACGTAAATTTATGTGTTGTGGGAGTTATTTTCTGATTATAAATAGGATTATGAATCCTATTTATAGTTGAAAAATATAGCTTTATTTTATTTTTTTAATAACAACTCCAACAAAACCACACTTATCACTAGGATGAAGCGGTGTCACTTGAATGGCAGAAGTTTCTCTCCCATATACTCTTATTAGATAACAATTTCGATAATTAACTTTTAATTATTTATCATTATCCAAATGTAATTGAGTTTAAGTGGATGCTCCATGTTGCAGATAATAATATGATCATTATCACATTATTTAATTTCAAATTAATTTAAATAATCATATTATTTAAAAATAAAATTAATCCAATTAAATAATGTGTGAAAATCAATTCAGAATTTATAACTCTAAATTAATTAATCTAATCCAACTAAAATAATGTTCATGTATTTTAACGGAGCCAACGAGAGGAAATATGGAAAATATGATTATGCAAGTTCTATCTAGTTAAGCTACAAGAAATGTTTGAAAATAAAATGAATTACCAGTTATATAACCTAAAAATTTTATCTATTGTCAACAAAAAAGAAAAACTGTTCCCGACGGATCCAGTAAGCATGGCCGCCAGGACTTTCCGGGTAATGAATCCGCCACTGGTTGAGCCTCATACTCCAATATCAATAAATACGTCACATGTTTTAGGAGCCGATTTTAGGTGTATATAAACCTCCGTTATGGGTAAATAACTATAATTGTGTGTTTGCTCCTCGTGTTTTTGTTTTTGGGATTATTATTGCCGTCATAAGGGATTAAGACATAGTCTCCAGACATAGCAAACTTGCTATTCACCCCATCATGGGCCATGATTCATGGATATTCTTTGCCGCATGATCAGAGGCAAGGTTCGGCCCAATCTTCCCCATCTCCAATTTTTTGATATTATCTACTTTCACACAGAAACTGTTTATGTAATTTTCTTTATTGAAATTGGAAGCAATCTCTGACCTTTGATTAGATGTTCTAGACTGTGTCTAAGGAACATACAATTTTAATGAGCAATATATACATACTCTCATTAGCAGTCAAGGCTAAGTGAGGACAAAGAATAAATTTAAATTTCAGTATTTTTCCTTACAGAGTTAATCGACCCTCTACTAATTTATTAGCATACAATCGAATAGTTTCCACCATGTCGTCGAGTATAAATTTATTAAGTACTTAATTGCATCTTGCATTGTCGAATCTAAAGAGTGACTTGAGATGTCTAATACATACAAATTAAACAAGTGAATTACGTGAATAAAACTAGCAAAACCAACTAATTAATCAAGCCATATACTTGATAGGTATTAAAATTTGTTTTTACGTCAATGATTAGCACAACCAAGCTAGTTATTTGTATAGATTTGAGAACTCGAAAATTGATATTAATTTACAAATACTTAGAAAATTAGAAATTGGCGTTAACTAGAGCAGAAACAATGCCATCCGTAGTCCCTGCACCTCTCCAGTCCAGCCAACAACTTGTTCGAATGATAGTCGACACTTTCTTGTCTCCCGAAAGGGGCTTCTGATTTCAGTATTTAAAAAAGTCAAGATATGGATATTAAACAATTAGATTGATAAAGTAAATTTAAATGTTTACCTTCATTTCAGAAATTTTCTCTTGAATCTTGTGACATAGATTGTTGTTGTCCGTACATCCAGTTCCCAATGTTGTTCCACCAGTAGAAGTAGGAATGCCTCCAAGAATGCTTGAGGACTAGAGTTGTAACAACTACCCAGAATCCAGTAATAAAACCAAATGCCATGCAGATGTAAAAGTCACGCGTTATAAACCCATCATAATCTTCAAAACTATTCCCCTCTCTGTGATTAGTAGCAGAACCGTCAGAAATGTCTCCTGGACACTTAGCCAGAGGCTCTCCACAAAGTTAGCTATTCCCGCATATACAGAGGAGTTGAAGCTTTGTAGTTGAGTGCCTAAAGGAATCTTTCCGATAAAATTATTGTACGATAAGTCCAAAACGCCGAGAAAATTTAGATCTGCAAGGCTATTTGGTATTTCTCCTGAAAGCTGGTTTCTAGACAAGTCAAGACTTTCTAACATCTCCATTTGACCAATGTTAGAAATAATATTTCCCGTCAAATGATATTTCTAACATCTCCATTTGACCAATGTTAGAAATAATATATCCCGTCAAATGATTTCTAGATAAGTTCTAAAATACTAATCCTCTTAAAGCAGAAAACTCTTGTGGAATAGTTCCAACAAACTTATTTCCTGATAGATCAATGCCTTTCAAAAGTCCTAGTGTTGTTGTGTGTTCAGAATCTTGTCCTTTCCATTGAAGAAAAGCACTGTTAACATACACTTCAGTTGCATTGTAAACAGGAAATGGAACAGAACCAACATTTTCAATTGAACTATTCTTCTGACCTAAAGCCGTAAAATTGTTTAGACATCGCAATATTGTTCCTGAAATGTTGTTGCTAGAAAGGTCCAAGAGATGGATATTGGTAAGGAGGCAAATTGTGGAAGGCATGATTCCATCAAATTCATTAAATCGAAGGCTAAGAAATGTCAGACTTGTTAAGTGAGTTCCTATCCATGCTGGAATATTACCTGTTAACTTGTTTCCTCCCACATCAAGCGTTCTCAGCCCCATGCAATTCCTCAAAGTTGAAGGCAATTCACCAATGAAATTAGTGCCACGCAAGTGTAATACTCCGAGCAGATCCAAAGTGCCCAAAGTTAGGGGAATCTTACCTGAGAACTTATTATTTGCCAAATCCAGAACAAATAATGCACTTATGTTCATCCAGCAATTAGGAAGCTCTCCTGCCAATTGGTTATCCGAGAGATCAAGCATGAAGATGATGGAGCCCTTAGGAATTGTGCATAAGTGAAAAATGGATCCCGAAAACATATTTTTGGAAAGTTTCAATGCTTCAGAACAAAAAAGAAATGATGGAATTGGACCTGAAATGTTATTGTAGCTTAAATCTATAAGAAAAAGATCAATTGACTGTGAGGAGAAATTAGGAATTTTACCCCTAATATTGTTATTCAAAAGATCCAAATATGTCAAAGAAGACATATTCCACAACCAATTGGGTATTGCATCTGATATACCGGCAAAAGAGATATTAAGCCCTCGAAGAGAATTTTGAGTTTGAATCCAATTTGGAAAATGAGGGCCCAAATGACAATGGCTGAGCTTTAGTGAATCTAATTGAAAAGGAGGAATCCAATCTGAGCTCAAATTGAAAGTCAAGGAGTTCAAGGATAAATCAAGGAATCTTAAGTTGGCAAAGTTTGAGAAGTAACATTCGGTGATTGTATCTTCCAACAAATTTGAAGACATTCCTAAATAACTGAGATTTGAAAGTTTCTCAATACCTTCAGGCAGCCTTTTAATTGATTGTCAGATATACCTAAATACCGAATAACTAAAGGTTGCCCCAAGACATTGTGTGTGAAACGCATTCAACTTATTGTTATAAAGGAACAAAGTTGATAAGGATGAAAATGCGGTATTATCTTGCAAGAGACCATTTAATTCATTGGATGATATATCTAGAGTATGTAAATGACGCAAAGAGCTTGGAATCCCACCGTGGAACTTATTGTCATTCAAAGAAAGATCTTCAAGAAAAAACAATTCCCCAAAGGAATCAGGAATAGGACTCTCTAATTGATTAAAGGAGAGGTCAATGCTTGTAAGACTTGTACTAATGTTAAACATCCAACGCAATGTGGATAAGGAGTGAGATAATTGGAGTTTAGCTCGAGGATAGATAGTTTGGATAAAGAAGAATTCGTAAAGATATCAAAGGAAAGCACTGGGTTGGGAAGTTGACAACCAATCAAGGACAATTTCTTGAGGAAAGGGAACCTTGTTATGTGGTGCAACCAGCTGGTTTGATTTATAAGGTTAACACTACTCAAGTCACGATGTGATAACGAAGAAAGATGAGAAAGACAATCAAAATTCTTGATTCTCAAATTATTATAACCAAGGTCAAGAGTATTCAGATTTGTAAGGTTCCCAAGTTCACAAGGAACTTCACCACCGAAGTTTGAGCCTCTGAGCATCAAGTGCCTTAAGTTCCTGAAGGAACCAATGACTCTTGGTATTTCACTTCCTCCAAAATCATTACGACTCAGGTCAAGATATGATAACGAAGAAAGATGAGAAAGACAATCAAAATTCTTGATTCTCAAATTGTTATAACCAAGGTCAAGAGTATTCAGGTTTGTAAGGTTCCCAAGTTCGCAAGGAACTTCACCACTGAAGTTTGAGTCAGTGAGCATCAAGTGCCTTAAGTTCCTGAAGGAACCAATGAATCTTGGTATTTCACTTCCTCCAAAATCATTACGACTCAGGTTAAGATATGATAACGAAGAAAGATGAGAAAGACAATCAAAATTCTTGATTCTCAAATTGTTATAACCAAGGTCAAGAGTATTCAGGTTTGTAAGGTTCCCAAGTTCGCAAGGAACTTCACCACTGAAGTTTGAGTAATTGAGCTTCAAGTGCCTTAAGTTCTTGGAGGAACCAATGAATCTTGGTATTTCACTTCCTCCAAAATCATTACCACTCAGGCCCAAATAATTCAAATGTTGCAAATCAAGCAGTGAGGGGCTAAGCTTACCTTTCAAAAGAAGATGACCTGACCACGGAAATGCATCCAGATCAAGTGAAATTACATGACCAGTTCCGTTGCTACACAAGATGCCCTTCCATTTGCAACATTCCCTTTTATCTTCTTCACTTCCCCAGGATGACAAAAGGCCATTTGCATCAACAAGGTCATGCTTAAACTTCAGAAAAGCTTGTCTTTCCCTCTCTATGCACCTAGCTTCAGCAGCAGATACTGAATTGAGCTTCATGCACAGTGAAAGTACAAACATCAGCACACTCAATAGTTTGATGAATCTGTTAATCTCCATCATTTTCTTTGATATCGTGTTTATAGTAATTAAAGACTATTGAAGTTTTTCAAGTATTGTGTGCTCAAGCAATCAAATTATATACGAAGTTGTATGTCCCACAATGAAGTAGACTTTACTACAAATTCTTATAGCGTGCATAATGGGCTATAACAAGTGGTCTTCATAAACATCTATCATGGGGCCTCAATTACAACACAATGTCACTTAGTTGAAATACATTATTACCCATTACTTTAAGCCTTTGTTTGGTCCCCATTATTTACAAAATATATTATTCTCCCTATTATTTTGAAAAACGTATTCTTCAATAAAATAATATTACACGCAAATAAAAAAAAAATCTTCCCTTTTAATCAAACATTCTCTATCAAAATATTATTCTAAAATGTATTTTTCATCAAAAAACAAATGGAGCTCAAACAAGCTTGGATTCACAAAAATCAAATTTAAAAAAGAAGGTACAAACTGAAAAAGAACATAAAAATATAAGAAAAAATTTAACAAAAATTCAAATATATCTTGAACCCACCCGTAAGCGTGCACAATGGGCTACAACATGTGATCCTCATATACATCTATTCATTGGCCCCAATTCCTCTTAGTGTGCACAATGGGGTAGAAAACTTCATACACATCTATTCATGAGCCTCAATTACGATACAAAGTCACTCAAATCTACGAGTAAAATTATTTTATTGAAATAACATATAATTGAAAATAAGTTTAAAGATAAATGGGTTTACGAAGAATAAAGGGTCTCAAAAAAGGACTAAATATAATAAAAAACTAAATTTTACCTAACAAAAATTTACTGATGTATTTTTAAAGCCCCTAGTTGCCCCCCATTATTTGAGGAAAATAGATTTTTAAATCATGATTTTTAGGATAATCTGTGATTAAAAAATAGAAAAAAAAATTTAGATTTATGTGTATAATATTTTATTGTGAAAATATGTAGTTGAAAATGAGTATATATAAAAAAGAATTTAAAAATAATAATTGCCAAATAGGAATTTAAATTGCTTCAACTTCAATCACATCATGGTTGTCAATGTTTCTATCATTCTCAATATGTAGGGAGAAAGTTCAACACGGAAAGACTTTTCTTAGGGTTCACACACATTGTACGGAAAAAAACTTAGGTTTCACAAACTTTTTGAGTTACCGTGCAATCATTATTTATATTTACAATGAGAACCAAAATGGTTCAAGTAGAAAATAAAAATGCCTTTACACACCAACATAATTTCACATCAATTGTGTTACACATGTATAATAAGTTTATATAATGATTTATATACACATGATGTGGTGAGATATAATTGGTTCAGAATTTCTTTAATCAAATAAAAAATAAAAACTTTCCCACTTTTTTCAACACATCATATGTATATAAATCATTATGTAATTAATTATGTACGAGTAGCATTATTCATTTCACATAGCTAGACTCAAAGATGTTCCTTATAAAGCATTGTTAGTCACTATATTTTCAACAAAATTTCACGTTGGTCACCAAATTATATTTTTGTTGTGAAAAAATCATTATAATTTGCCATTTATTTCAATTTGGCCACTTGATTATTATTTAAGTTTTCTAATGCAAAAGACCCTAATGTTAGTACCACGATAGATTATTTTCGTCTGTCATACCAAGCATTCGATTAGAAAAACAACTAAAATTTAAACAAGCAACCAAATTGAAATACAAAGCGAACATTAGTCAACTCGGTCGAGGTCTTTTGGGTAGGAATAGGAAAGTTGAGGACTCTTCTGAAAATTAAATAACTATGTCCAAATTTTCACAAAAGTTAGTTTCATGCAAAGAATTACTCGGAAAGACTTGACTTCCACATAATTCATTTTTTGAAGAACAATTTTCCCCAAAATTGTTCTTTTAGCATGGAATACATGTTTCCATGACTGATTATATTCCATATAATATTGTTTAGGTCATTGAAATCAAAATTGTAATCTGTGAAGGGCTAATTTCACAAATGGTCACTGAAATTACAGTAAAATAACAAAATGGTCACTGAAGTTCGAAAATTGCATAAATGGTCCCTCAACTTACACTCACTTTCAAAAATGGTCACTGAGCAAAATTAAGGGATTTCTTTGTTCTAATTGAAACCGAAATTAACAAAACAAAGCCCCTTCAAAATTGGAGGGGATGAAGTGCAATTTCCTTTGGATAAAACCCCATATCCCTTCTCTTTCCTTCTCTGATCTCCCATTCCCCGTCTTTGATCTCCTTTCTCAAAATCAACCACAGTCACCACCACCAGCAGTCGCCGTAAGCCACATCACCGACGCTTGTATCCACCGCCAATAGACAGCAAGAAGAAAAAAATATAGGGCAGATTTTATGTCAAATGGATAAAAATTGGGCAGATTTTGATTGAAAAAATTGGAGCAAGTAATGGATCAATCGATTCAATTGAGGAGTTACCCAATATCATATTGACCCGCTGAAGGTTTTACTGGGTCCAATTTGTAGCAATAACATCACTTTGCCTGTCAATTGGAGGTTGATTCACTGAACTTATATGCGAACGTGAGGGGCTGGAATTGGGGTCTGAAAATTTTGAATTGCTGCACTATTTGATTGTATGAAACCATGGTTGGATGCGCCTTGAAGTGTAGAAGAGGCCGATATGTGTTGGGCATGATGAGTGTGATCGGAATAGTGGTTGTCGTCAAGTTTTTTGGCTGCGAACTGTGATCGATTTTGTGGCTATGGGGTGCATTTGTTGGCCAGGTGAGGCTGGGATGGTGGTTGGGATTTGTTAGGTGGGTGAGGCCGATACCGGTGGTGGTGATACTCGGCAGTCTAGGGAGCGGATTGGTGGTTTTTTGGAGGTGGAAGTCGGCGGTGACAGAGGGAAGTTCTGTCGGTATTGGTTGATTTTTCCACTTCAGCCCCTCCAATTTTGAAGGGGCCTTATTTGTTAATTTAGGTTTCAATTAGAACAAAGAAATCCCTTAATTTTGCTCAGTGACCATTTTTGAAAGTGAGTGTAAGTTGAGTGACCGTTTATGCAACTTTCAAACTTCAGTGACCATTTTGTTATTTTGCTGTAACTTCAGTGACCATTTGTGAAATTAACCCAATCTATGAATTAACTATTCATTTCATTCACAATTCACTTGCCCATTTTCTTTTATGTTTGATTAAGTAGAAATGGAATAATTTTTTAGAAAGACCATCCAATCCGCAATAATGCATCCAAAAACATTATGACTTGTTCTAAGGATTAAAAACAAAAAGACTTGACTTCACAATGTAGCTCTTGTTTTATCTGAAGAAAATTTGGTAGTGGATCAGTACCCAATTATACGTTTATTCATGTGGTTCACATTAAAGTCTTTACCATTGAATTCACCATTGTCTTATTAATAGTCTTCCAACTTGCTTGAAAAGACAAAGCAACTTGCTGTGGAAAGAGAAGAATATAATTTTTTCCAGTCGACCATCTCAAGGACCATGATGTATGCCTTTTAAATTTACACAATTAAACTTATCTCCCCTCTAATAGCATAAAGTATTAGATAAGGTGGTTCAACGACTCTCACTTAGGGTTACCGAAAAATGACTCTCTCATTTCATATTTGTGAACAGTCTCTAGCACAAGGCCAGAATAGCATAACTTGACATATTTTGTTTGTAATAATAAACTATTATTTCAGTTTGACAGTTCAATTAAATTGCATTAAGTTTCTAACAAAATGTATAATGCAGGAAGATGCTCACGTTAGATTGCTATCTACCATGTCAGGCATTCAATAAAATTTAAACTAGCAACAAAATTGAAATACAAAGCTAACTTCAGTAGCCACTTTGGAATAGTAAAGTTTGGGGACCAATATGAAATTCATTGTAAGCTAAGTGACTAATTTAATCTTAGAAATCTTTTGTCCAACTAACAGGACCCACTAAAATAATTGGTCAAACCAACTAATAAAACCTAATTTTTCCACGGCAAAACAAAGATATTTTTCAAAGTTTAGTGAGTAATTGAAGAATTTTCCTTACGTGACAATTTATTAACAGTGTGATGGGCGCTACATGTGCATTTCATTAGCCACGTCGCTAATTCCATTTAAAACAGATGTTATGCCGTGAGTAACTTTCAACATTTGGATAAATTTTGTGATAAAAACTCGACATCTTAAATTTCAGTGAGCAATCGAAGACATAAAAATAAGTTCAGTGACCATTATGACAATTAACTCAATAAGGTGTTGGGAGATCTGTACACTATTCTTATACTAGGGGTTGTAAATTCCTTGCTCGGGGATCGATATCTTTCAAGAACAATGGGAAAGAAAGAGTTGTTCCTTGCGTTCCTTTTCAAAAAATAGTAATTAGGCATAAAAAATTCGATACCACTTAGATTTTCAGTCGAGGATGTAAACATAGTGACCCTAAAATACCTGCTGCACTATCTTAAAGGCGAAAACTTTTGACAGTCCATGAGTGGTTTATTATATCCTTGTTTGATGTAAAACTCAATTTTTCCAATAACTAGAAGAATAGTTTCATCTTAGTTGTGTTGGTTACCTAAAATTGGTTTTTCAACTTATTTAGCAGCTTATATAAACAAATTATTCACCTAAAATCACTGAAACCACTGTCATTCCAACTAATATAAATAAGTTCATTATCCTATATCAAACAATCTGAACAGATCTCATCTTTACACCAACTAATGACAGTTGATACATACATTTCTATGCCAACTCTTTACAAAAAGCAAAAACAATGAATAATAGTGCTACTTTATCAAACTCCTCCATAAACAGGTACTGAATGTTCTTCAATTCCTCCTTTCAACTTTACCTTTTATCTTCTACAACAGAAGCCATAAATCCGAAGGATGTCAAAAAATGAAAACACGTGCCGGTGAAATTAAAGCTTACTGTTAACTAGATGTGTCGACTTCCTTCCCATTATCTTCCTCACGAATATGTCTTTTCAACCTTCTCAACCAAATTTCATAATCCATAGGATAAGGTGTTCCACACAGGCTATCAACATAATCTGCACATGCTTTCAACATAGCGGAGATATCTCCAAGCTTTTGTTGTATCACCCTCCTTGACCAAGCCGTTTCTCTCCACTCAAGTGCCCCCTCAACTGAGTCGAGAACAGGTAAATCCCCTCCAGAAGAAAAGAAAAGCATATATATCAGGCTCTCTGCGTCGGAAGCAGAGCACAGCTTCCCTTCCTGAAGGGCAGAAGTAGAAGAGAAATGAAGATTCATTGCTGGATGGTCCCAGTCATCTAAAATAGCATGTCCCCAACCAATAAGGACGTAGCAATGCTGCCTTACAGGTGGCAGATCCAGCACCCGGCGAGCTCCGGCGTCCGCCCAGGCTGGATCCTCCAGTATTAAATTTTGTTGTATCAATGTACATACGTTTTTGTTATATGTATCTGTAATTTCATTTTGTACTCAAACAATTTGATAGATCAACTGGTTGGAGCGCCTATCTACTAGCTGGAGGTCTTGAGTTCGTCTGTTCACAGCATCAATCTTTTATGTTTTGTTTTAACATTTAAGTTTTATTATAAAACTGCAACAATATAGATTCGAACCTGTGCGTCCCTTTAAAACTATTGGAAGCTTGTTCGCTGCGGCATTTAATTGAAGGCAATGCTTAATATAACAAAACAATATATAAATTAGTTTTAGCGAAGTAATTGATATATTGTCTCTTTATTTTAATTTTAAAAAAAAACTAAAATTCAACATTTCAATGACTCAACGGTTAAAGTACTAACTCAATGACACGATAATTTGTCCAAGTCAACGATCGAATTGGATATGATAACTATGTTTTGAAATATGAAAGAATAACGAAGGAAAAAATTAAATTGGTAGTTGAAATTTATTGAAGTCCAAAATTTTATTTGTTTTAATCTTGTCATTGGATACAAGTCATTTCAATTTACGGTATTGGTTTTCATTGTCGCCATTAATGGTCAACAACCAACGACCGCCCGTGCTCACAGACTGTGGTCAGTGATTTTATAGTGGACATAAATCTGATCGTAGGGAGTTGAAGAATAAGAAATTAAGATCTATTTGGCTTCACCAGAGGACTGGAATATGAGAAACATGTTGGGTACTCCCTCCTAGTGAGGGAGCCCATTTAAATGGTAATTGGGCTTTCTTCCTAACGCCCAAGACCAATTGATTGAAATTAGGAGGGAACCAAACAAATAACATAACACACATACATAGATACAGACAAGGCAGAGAACGAGAGAGAGAGAGAGAGAAAAGCTACGGTTCTTGCTTCCATCTTGCCATAGATTGGAGGTCCATTTGAGGTCCGATTTTACTGATATTTTAGTATGTTGTTCATGGCGAAGATAGCTACATTTTGACTGGAGCTGATCGTCCTAACTCCTCTCCATTTCTCCGGGCTTTGCACACTGCTTAGTGAGATTTTTCTCCATTTTATAGTGTGTATTTGGTTTATGATGTTGTTGTGGTTGATATCCAAGAATTAGATGAATTCTTGATGTTGTGGTAGCCTCAAGAGTGTGTTCTTGAGAGGTTTATTGTGTATCCCATTATTTTCTAGTGGAAGGCTTTTACTGGACTAGGTCCCGGGGTTTTTCCCTTCACAGGGTTTTCCTCGTTAACAAAATTCCGGTGTTCAATTTATTTTCTTGCTAGTGTGTGTGAGTTGGTTGGAGCTAGCTATTAGTCTTGTCATTTAATTCTGCACATTGAGGGATTGATATATTATTATTTCCGCTGCTTGTGTATTGTATTGGTTCAATCCCCAACAAAGTGGTATCAGAGCTTTGGTTGAGTTTCTGTGGTTGTGGTGAGAATTAAAATGGAGGATTCGGCTAGTGGTATGGTTAAACTCACATCTTCCAATTATTCCATTTGGAAGACTAGAATGGAGGATATGTTGTATTGCAAAGACTTGTTTGAACCCATTGAGTGGAATGGCATGAAACCCGATTCTAAGACTGATGAGGATTGGAAGAAGTTAAATAGAAAGGCCGTTGGACATATTAGGCAGTGGGTTGATCAGAGTGTCTTCCATCATATAGCCAAGGAAGTAGATGCATACAGTCTTTGGCAGAAATTAGAAGGTCTCTATGAAAGGAAGACTGCACAGAACAAGGCCTTTGTCATCAGAAGACTTGTAAACTTAAAGTACAGGGATGGTAATAGTGTTGCAGAGCACTTGAGCAGCTTTCAAGAGTTATTGAATGAGTTGTCTACTATGAAGCTTACACTAGATGATGAGGTGAAGGCTTTACTTCTGTTGAGTTCTTTACCAGACAGTTGGGAAACTTTAGTTGTCTCTCTGAGTAATTCGGCTCCAAATGGTGTGATCACTGTCAACATGGTAAAAGACAGTATGTTTAATGAAGAAGCCAGAAGAAAAGAGCAGGGTGCTTCTTCTAATTCTGAAGCACTTATTACAGAAAGAAGGGGGAGAAACCAAAGTAGAAAACATCATGGTGATGACAAGCATGACAAGTCTAGAGGAAGATCAAAGTCAAGAAAAGGGATAACATGTTATCATTGTGGCAAGCCAGGGCATCTTAAAAAGGAGTGCAGAAAATTGAAAAGGGAACAGTCAAAATTGAAAGGTGAAGAACATAAAGAACAAAAGGAGACTGCTGCAGTTGCATATGAGGCAGATGTGCTTATTGCTTATGATGAAGCATTTGCCAGTCTTTCATGCCAGGATACTACATGGATAGTCGATACAGCAGCGTCTGTTCATATTACTCCACGTAGGGATTTCTTTTCATCCTACACCAGTGGTGATTTTGGTTGGATCAGGATGGGAAATGAAGCTAAAGCTAAAACTGTTGGCATGGGGGATGTACAATTGGAAACTAGCAGTGGTAACATGTTAGTTCTAAAGGGTGTCAAACATGTTCCTGATATGCGTTGCAGTTTGATTTCTGTTGGAAAGCTCGATGAAGAAGGCTATCACAATCACCTTGGAGATGGCAGTTGGAAATTGAAAAAGGGTTCTCTTGTTTTAGCCAGAGGGAAGAAGACTAATGGTCTCTACAGAACAGAAGCAAAACTTATTCATGGAGAGGTGAATGTTGCTGACAATGAAGCCTCTACTGAGCTATGGCATAAGCGGCTTGGTCATATGAGTGAAAAGGGACTTCAAGTTCTTGCCAGAAAGAAGATCCTACACAATGTGAAAGGTACATCACTTATCCCTTGTACTCATTGTTTAGTTGGAAAGCAAAGTAGAGTTGCATTTCATAAATTCCCTGTTTCTAGGAAGACAAATATTCTTGATCTATTTCATACTGATGTCTGCATAATGCAAAGTAAATCTCTAGGTGGTGCATTATATTATGTTACATTTATTGATGATCACTCTAGAAAGGTGTTTGCATATACTTTGAAATCTAAAGATCAGGTACTGGAAGCATTTAAAGACCTTCATTTGAAAGTTGAAAGAGAAACTGGAAGGCAGCTCAAATGTGTCAGGGCAGATAATGGTGGTGAATACAGAGGGCCATTTGAAGAGTACTGCAGAAGATATGGCATCAGGCTTGAGAAAACTGTTCCGAAGACCCCGCAGCAAAATGGGGTGGCAGAGAGAATGAACAGGACTATTTGTGAGAAAATTAGATGTATGCTCTCTCATGCAAAATTACCTAAGCATTTTTGGGCTGAGGCAATGAGGACAGCAGTTGACCTGATTAATCTTTCTCCATCAGTTCCTTTAAATGGTGATGTTCCACAAAGTTTTTGGACAGAGAAAGATATATCTCTTGATCACTTAAGAGTCTTTGGCTGTCGGGTATCTGTTCATATTCCTAAAGATGAAAGATCGAAACTTGATAGCAAAGCAAAACAGTGTATCTTCTTGGGTTATGCACATGAAGAATTTGGGTACAGACTGTGGGATCCAGTGAATAAGAAGATTATCAGAAGCAGAGATGTTGTATTCTTTGAAGATGAAACCATTGAAGATTTGGATCAGACTAAGAAGCCAAATACAGTCAATGAAGAACAAATCAGTTTAGTTCCACATGTACCAGATCCTGTGGTACATGATGATCACAGAGAAAATTTGCAAGAAGAACATGACACTATAAGAGACAGACATGATGAAGCCCCTGCACAGGATAATGCAGAACTAGATCCAAATCAAGAGAATGTTCCTCTTGAGGTACCAGCTGAAGAAGAGTTGAGAAGATCTGCTAGAGAGCGTCAGCCTTCCAAGAGGTATTCTAGTAATGAGTATGTGTTACTTTCTGATGGGGGAGAACCAGAAAGTTATCAGGAGGTTCTACTACATGACCAGAAAATGGAGTGGTTAAAAGCTATGCAAGAAGAGATGAAATCCTTACATAAGAACCACACTTATGATCTGATGGATCTGCCTAAGGGCAAGAGAGCACTGAAGAACAAATGGGTGTTCAGATTAAAAGCTGAACCAAATAGCTCACATCCAAGGTACAAGGCAAGATTGGTTGTGAAAGGGTTTGGTCAAAAGAAAGGTATTGATTTTGAAGAAATTTTCTCACCCGTGGTCAAGATGTCTTCAATCCGAGTTGTGTTAGGCTTGGCAGCCAGTATGAATTTGGAGATTGAACAACTTGATGTGAAGACCGCTTTCCTTCATGGTGATCTTGAAGAAGAAATATACATGGAACAACCAGAAGGATTTACAGCTAAAGGCAAAGAAAATCTGGTATGTAGGTTGAAGAAAAGCTTGTATGGTCTTAAGCAGGCACCAAGACAATGGTACAAGAAATTTGATTTCTTCATGGTTGAGCATGGGTACACCAGAACAACTTCTGATCATTGTGTGTTCATAAAGAAATTCTCTGATGGGGAATTTATTATTCTGTTGCTCTATGTGGACGACATGTTGATTGTTGGTCGTGATATTGAGAAAATTAAGAAGCTGAAAAAGGAGTTGAGCAAGTCCTTTGAGATGAAGGACTTAGGACCTGCAAATCAAATTCTTGGTATGAAAATCTCTCGTGACAGAAAGAATGGAAAATTGCGGCTATCACAGGAAGATTATATCGAGAAGGTATTGCACAGGTTTAACATGGATAAGGCAACACCAGTAAGCGCTCCACTTGTAAGTCATTTGAAACTAAGTTCAAAGCAAAATCCTTCAAGTGAGAAAGATCAGGAAGAAATGAAGGATGTGCCTTATGCATCAGCCGTTGGTAGCTTGATGTATGCTATGGTATGCACAAGGCCAGATATTGCTCATTCTGTTGGAGTTGTTAGCAGATTTCTTTCTAATCCTGGAAAAGAACACTGGGCAGCAGTGAAATGGATACTCAGGTATCTCAGAGGGACTTCTAAGATATGTTTATCTTTTGGCATCAGCAAACCTGAGCTTGTTGGGTTCACAGATGCAGATATGGCTGGTGATGTTGACTCTAGAAAGTCTACTTCTGGGTATTTGATCACTTTTTCAGGGGGAGCAGTTTCATGGCAATCAAGACTACAGAAATGTGTTGCTCTATCTACCACAGAGGCTGAGTACATAGCCATCACTGAAGCTAGCAAGGAGTTGCTATGGATGAAGAAGTTTTTACAAGAACTTGGCTTAGAGCAAGATAAGTATATACTCTACTGCGACAGTCAGAGTGCCATTCATCTCAGTAAAAATCCAACCTTTCATGCAAGATCCAAACATATTGAAGTAAGGTATCATTGGATTCGAGATGTTTTGGAGATGAAGAAGTTGCAGCTTGATAAAATCCATATTGATGAGAATGGTTCAGATATGATGACAAAGCCACTGCCCATGGAGAAACTACAAGTATGTAGGAGGAAAGCGGTTTTGGTGGAGTCCCTCACGTAGTCGGGAGGGGGAGATTTGTTGGGTACTCCCTCCTAGTGAGGGAGCCCATTTAAATGGTAATTAGGCTTTCTTCCTAAGGCCCAAGACCAATTGATTGAAATTAGGAGGGAACCAAACAAATAACATAACACACATACATAGATACAGACAAGGCAGAGAACGAGAGAGAGAGAAAAGCTACGGTTCTTGCTTCCATCTTGCTATAGATTGGAGGTCCATTTGAGGTCCGATTTTACTGATATTTTAGTATGTTGTTCATGGTGAAGATAGCTACATTTTGACTGGAGCTGATCGTCCTAACTCCTCTCCATTTCTCCGGGCTTTGCACACTGCTTAGTGAGATTTTTCTCCATTTTATAGTGTGTATTTGGTTTATGATGTTGTTGTGGTTGATATCCAAGAATTAGATGAATTCTTGATGTTGTGGTAGCCTCAAGAGTGTGTTCTTGAGAGGTTTATTGTGTATCCCATTATTTTCTAGTGGAAGGCTTTTACTGGACTAGGTCCCGGGGTTTTTCCCTTCACAGGGTTTTCCTCGTTAACAAAATTCCGGTGTTCAATTTATTTTCTTGCTAGTGTGGGGTAGTTGGTTGGAGCTAGCTATTAGTCTTGTCATTTAATTCTGCACATTGAGGAATTGATATATTATTATTTCCGCTGCTTGTGTATTGTATTGGTTCAATCCCCAACAAAACATCGATTTAAAGTTTTATAGTGTTCAAGATAGTTGACAAATGAAGGATTTTGAAAACGTTTTTTTGTAAGTAAAGAGATTGTAAAAGTATTCCAGTGTACGTATTGAAGAAAACTGCACAATGTAAGAACAATTTATCCACTTGTACGGAAACAATCTAATTTTAAAAAAAGACCTTTAACGATGGTTGAATCTTCTGGAGTTTCCTGTGTGAGTTGATTTATTTCCATTATTTGCAAATGATAACTATAGCATTTAATGTTTATTAAGCTCTAGAACTACTTCATATAAAGTTGGTCCTATTTGTTGAGGAATTTCTCATTGGTTTTATTTGGTAAAATGTTTGTTGTAGGGATACTTTGGTGCCGCAATTGGGAAGGGCAAGCAAGCTGCTAAAACGTAAGAAAATTTTCTCTACGTGCGCATGCCCCATGTTGCTCTTCTTATAAGTTCCAACCTACTCTTTAAAACATCTAGAGGAACCAAAACTGAATAAAATAATAATCTGAATTTATGCCTCTCATTCTGAAGGCGTGGTGCAATATCCCTTTTATCCTTGCTATATTTTGTTGCTTTATGAAAGGAAAATGTGGCACAATGATGCAAAGACCATTGGGCCTAAATTGAAAGCCCAGCTGGAATTAAAATCCAGCCCAACCAATCTGTTGGTTTATTAAAAACGTGCTTTGGGAAATTTGTAGAAACCGTGTTTCTCATTACCTTTGAATTAGATGCATGTGATGTCGCCACGTGCCGCCTTCAACGCCATTGGATTGACGACTGTTGAGTGACTCATATAAGAGCGTTTTCTAGGGTTTGAGACCATACTTTCTAGCTTCGAGACTCTTCCATTCTCTCTCACTGTGCGCCGTTCTCTCGAGTTCTCTTCACTTTAGAAATCAAATACTCTCATTTGATTTCCTGATTTTCTCTCAATACCTTGTAAATCTTGTGTGATTTTCTATTTGAGGGTTTGGTTCTTGTGTGAACCGTGAGTTGCGAAGAGAAATCTACTATTTTGTGTAATAATCGGTCAAGTCTGAGTGCCATACTTTTGTATATTTACTTTTGGAGTTCTGATTCAAGTTTATAATTGTGGTTACAAGAGATTGAAGCATAGATTGTGATTCTCGACCTGTGGGCTTGATGAATAAAGATAAGTTTCCTTTTTAGCAGTTTAGTCTGTTGTAATTTTGCTTCTGTAGTGTTCGGTTTACAGACTATTGTTCTTCATGTTCAGTTGTTTCTTGAGTTTCTGATTTCTGTTCCTGTTGTTCATAATTTCAATTTACTTGGTTCATGATTTTGCCCATATATAGTCTTGATTTGTAAGCTAATCATTCTATCACCTCCCAACACTTTATATTTCCCAATTGAAGCAGCAATTCCGCCCCTTGTTGGAATATTCCAATATTAGATCATTCTTCTAGATCCTTCTCCTATTTGTTATTATATGCTTATTCTAGATCATTCTTATGTTGTTATGTAGTTATTTTGTTAGATATTTTACTCTATAAATAGATCAATATATTCACACTTTTACTTGAGTTTTTGATGAATAATAAGTGTTCTTCATATCATTTCCATCAAATTCCTTCAATATAGTTTCTATATTGAATCTATCCTTTTATTTTCTTAATATGGTATTAGAGCAAAATGCTCCTTCCATCTGCAACTCTGTCACTTTCTTCTGCCTTCTCAACTCTGGAATGAAGAAATTTGCCAATGGCTTCTCTGAATAATTCTCATTATCAGCAAAACCTTCTCTGGATTTGTTCAGCAATGGCAGGTTGGATCGGACGGTCTGTTATCTGTGTCCTGGTGGCTCTGTTGTTGGCCTCGTCGATGATTGCCAGCTCAGAAGGTCCATTCATACTTGCCCATAAGAAAGCCAAGCTCACCAGCTCTGAACGTGTCTCTGCTTCCACCTTGCTGCCAATCTCAATTACTTCACCCACAATCTTGTGCTCGGGAACAATGGGATATTGAGTGAAGCCCCATTCATTCTGGCCATATGAAGACCCGAATGACAGACCCCACGATACAACGCTTTGAACTGCACATCATGCTCTTCGGTCACCCTTCTAGAGAATTTGAAAGGTAAAAAAAAACTCCATATGCATCTCTTGTAGCCCATCCAACAGCTTTGAGAGGGTGCTCTGTTTCTGGAGATTTCACCATTTTCACAATATTAAATTGCAAGCAGTGGGTTGTTCTGAACGTGTCTCTGTCTCCATTAATATCTACAATCAAGGATCCGAGACTGCCTATGACGTAACCCTTAATGATGGTGGCTATAGTTACTTTTTTTTTTTTAGTCTAAAATGTTGGTTTTACTTGCAGTCATTGTTGGAGTTTGTTTAGCTTTTCCAGTGTTTCTTTTACTCATCAATGTTGATGATGTTTTATCTTCAGCAAATGCCCGGTTTTAGAGCCATGGATGCTCACTTATTCCGGTTGAATTATGTTGCTGTTTTTCTTTGGATTGCTTCTCCGTGGACGTTATTGTCGACCACGGCTTCTTTTGCATCTTTGTTCTTCTCTCTACAATTCAAGATGTTCCATCTTGAGGGAGAAGTGTTGGAATATTCTAATATTAGATCATTCTTCTAGATCCTTCTCCTATTTGTTATTATATGCTTATTCTAGATCATTATTATGTTTGTTATGTAGTTAGTTTGTTAGATATTTTACTCTAGAAATAGATCAATGTATTCACACTTTTACTTGAGCTTTTGATGAATAATAAGTGTTCTTCATATCCTCTCCATCAAGTTCCTTCAATATAATTTCTATATTGAATCTATCCGTTTATTTTCTTAACACCCCTTAAATGATTATATTTATTCTCTTATTTGATTCTAAAATTGTAGTATCATTTGACCTTTTGATATAACCTATCTACTCGTTCATTACAGAATTTCCTTTCTTTTGTATGTTCTCTTTGTTGGACAAGTTATGTTTTAATACTGACATGGAGTCAAAATTATGTTGTACAGTGAGATTGAAAAATTGAAGCTTTCTGAAATGACCTGCCGACAAGGGGTTATTGAGGTGGCCAAGATGAAAGTACATTCGTCCAAGTGAAGTGAGACATTTATATCCATCTGGCATGAATCTTTAAATATCTTTAAACAGATTTGAATTTACCAAATTGGTTTTACTTTAGGTGCCCTGTCAACATTCACTGCATACAGCTGATTAAGCTTTTGTTGCTTTCGGCATTTTAACTTATTACACTACCAGCATACCTTTTATATTCCAAATATGATGCTAGCCTACTTGGTTATGTTTGCAAACATGTTGACACACGGAAGACTAATGTGCATAATCTTTTAGCTTTTGATATGCAACTTTTATTAAGCGGAATTTACGGAGTTCATGATGAGGCAAAGGACAAGGCCTTCGAATTGGAAACGAGTTGGGTCTGTGACAAGTCTAACCACCAGCATCAAAAGGTATATAATGAAATGTCTTGAGACCTTTTATATATACATGCTAAATCTTAGTTATGCCTCTCCTTAGCATGTGATGCCTCGTTGTTTTACCACTTTTTGGCATACCATTGATAATCTGTTATTAATCTAATTGAACGTTGCTGCTCATGTGAAAGACCATCCATTTGGTATATGTTTACAATTTTTTGTCATTCATTATTTTCTTTTGATTTTTGTGACCAATTTTGTGTGCCTTGTATGGAATGGATGGTTTACTTTGTTTCTTTAGTTTAGTATTTTTCTATTATTGGGACCACCAGGAAGAAATTTCCTTTATCCAACCTATGAGATCTTGTGATAGAAAAACATAATAGGGATTATAAATTGGACCGTGCTGCAGCAACAGAAGAGGGACCAACCGAAGCTCTGACCGACTCACACATTTGGGGGTGTGGGCCACTTTTTTTTGTCATTTTTTATTCAGGTGGGGCTGAAACATGTGAGAGGGGGTCAAGGGCTCGGTTGGTTTTTTTCTGGCATGGAAGCATTTTTCTTATAAATTTGAATTATTTTCTCATATAAACCCTAAATAATACTCCATGTTGAAACTAGAGAAAATAACGAAATAGCGGAAGCATAAATATACCTTGATCCATAGGTTTCTGATTCTTTGCCTGGATGTGTTAGGATCTTCCAATTGATTGGTGATCTTCACTTCAGTTTTGCTCTCTATTGATGGGGATGTAGAGAAACTCAAGAACACCAACAATTGAGAACCATAACCATATAAAATAATAGTAGTAACTGAATAGTCACTAACTTTCAGTTGCTTCAAATTGGCCCCTCATCAATTTAAAACAACATTCTGGTCTCTACACTATAATTCCATGAAATCTAATACCAATTAGTCACAATACATCTTTATCGTATCACTTTAATTGACTAATATCCTTTAAATAATAGCACCACACATATCAATATACAACGTGTGGCCCCATATATGTCGAAATTATCCAACATCTTGATCATAAAATCCAGTAAAAACTTTATTAAATCATAAAGAATATTCCATATTTATTGATTGTTAGTAATAAAGTTTAATATGACTAGCCACTTTTAACTATATAGAGAATTTCATGATGTATATGCTCATCACAGACCAACTTTTATTCTCCACTTAATTTTATCTTCGAAAAGTTGACGTTTGACAATAATGTATGACAATATTATGTTTCAACATTATCTCGTTTTAATATCTTGCCTGGGGCTTTAATTGTTGGATGTATATCAAAATTTCAGTTTCCTTGCCACTCCAATATTTGGTGAATGTTACATGTACAAATTATTTGTAAGTGAGCAAGTCGATGATTCTCAGGTTCCGGATGATATCTTGGAGGAAGCTAAGGCCGCGCTCGAGGAAATGCATTATCTACAAAACGTCGTCGTCTATTCATCTAAAGATGATTGAAGAACATGAATGGAAAATTTTTATTTCTCGCATGTCGCTTGGTTCAAACTCGATGGAGGAAGAAGACCTGGCCACTGGCAAGCCTCGCCGCTGCACTTCTGACAACTAGTAACCACCACATTTCTGCGGCAAGAGGGGCAGGAGGAGTGAAGTCCTAACCATGTATCAATGCATATTTGTTTCTACAATGTAATCTTTTGTTGTTTTCCTTGTATCTTCTTTCAATCTCGAGCTCTCATCCTTCGGGTTTTACCTTACTAATTGTTTCAAGAGTGTTATTGTTATAAAAGAGTTCTGTTTGTAGATTAGAGATCTATTTTCATTTCGAAATCTCTATAAATAGACATATGCTTGACTAAAGCCAGATTTTAGAGGCCTTAGGTCATTTTCAAATATGAGGCCCTTATAGATTTTTTTCCAAATTAATATAATAATATTTTTTATTAAATAAAAATACTTTAAATCATAAATTTAATAATCTAAATTCCTAAATAATCCAATGCTAGTCTACATTAATCTAGTCATTTTTCTTCAATTAGCCCATTAGTATTGCATATATATTTACAAATAATATACTAATATGAAAACAAATAGTGGAAAATTTAGTAGCCAAGATATGCTTCTTACGACATTAATCTAGTAACTATTTATGCTCGACTAACTCTCATCCTTAGTCGACATTTATGTATATATTCCAATAACAAGTTATTCTTTCGACAACAAATAGAATAATTGACATCAAAACCCTTCAGGTATCACAATACTTTTTTTAAGGATAACATTGATATCTACTAACTAAATCTATAGCATGACAAATGTTAGGACAAATATATATTATAGCATACTCTTAACTCCTAACCGCGCTAGATATGATTCTCTGGATCTATGTGCACTTATGAAGACTCACATGGTCGCCTTCCGATATAAGAATATTAACAAGGTCGTAATTCTATAGTTAAAAATATTCTAGACTCTTTTTAGTATAACATTCTTGTGACAGAGTAAGAAGATTACAATAATATTTTTAACATAAAACATAACATACAATTTACTAAATCCATGTCCTTTGTCTCAAAGATTGAGGGCAACCATTTCAAAATGGTTTCAATACACTCATTCTAATGTTAAGCTAATACAATATCATTTCACACTCGCACATGATAGACTTATCCATTTGAAACGCACAATTTAAAAAACACAAACAAACTGACCTAGCCTATTCACCATATCTCTATTTCATCTTGAAATTTTGTTTGGAGCTTATCAATACTCTAATCCATTTGAAATGCCTTGGTAAGGATATCACTACCGGGTTGTGATTTGAAAACTGCATTTGCAATGGTTATAACACCCGGATTTTGACTAGTGCATTAGCATGACACGGAAAACAAACACATAGCCCTTTTGAAGCACCTTAGTAATGTGGTGATTCTTGGGGATTGAAATGATGCAGCCAACTTGTAGAGAACCTTCAAGGATGATTGAAATTTCTGCAGCTTGGGGTAAGTGCGAGAGGATTGATTCCCCATGGCACATAATCAACACGAGTTGTTGCGACGCGGAGTGTGTTGAGTCCTGGTAATTGTGTTAGAGTTACTAGTAATGTCAATTGGGGGATGTAGCTCAAATGGTAGAGCACTGACTTTGCACGCGAGAGATTCGAGGTGTCAATTTGGCTTGTCGGGTTAGGCGACCCGTGGTTTAGCCTAGAAAAAGCTCGAGCCATCCTTGCTCCTAGCTCGATTCAACCAAGCCGAGGCTTGGGCCAAGCCCCATTTTGTGGCATCGGCACCTGCTCGAGCTTGCTCGTGTAGCTCGTTGAGCCACACCATGTCACAGGTTATTTTCGAATGGCCCTTAATGAATTGATCCCAAAAAAAAATTTAAATAAAAATTAAAAGTTGCATGTGTCAAGCAAGTGTAAACTGCTCATTGACATCCCTACGAGAAGCATGAGGTTTAGATAAATATTTCTCCAATTTCAATATCACACCAACACTTTAACAAAATTATTTTTTTTTTCTATAATTCTTTGTTTTCTAAACCCCATATACACTCGCGCACGTAGTATAAAATGTTGGTTTGGGAAACTATTTTTAAGAAAAACAAGTGGAAGCAGGAACAATCACATTGTAAGATTTTTTTTATCAAACAATACACATATTAACTTAAGCGACATGTCATTAAGGAATAGATTAAAATGATACCGACGATCGTCTAGGATGTAAATATTGAACTTCTTTAAATCATCAATCTCTCAAAAGCTCCACAATTCTTTCTCGATGTATCTCCGATTACAAGGAATGAACGAGTAGACGTTTCAGATTTGGGTTTGATTCACACACTCATTTTATGTTCTCAACACAATAGACAAAGTGAGAATAAGAGAAATAACTCTAAAAAAGGTATTTCACGTAAATTTATATGTTCTGTGCGTTATTTTCTGATTATATATAGGATTATGAATCCTATTTATAGTTGAAAAATATAGCTTTATTTTATTTTTTTCAATAACAATTCCAAGAAAACCGCACTTATCACTTGGATGAAGCGGTGTCACTTGAATGGGAGAATTTTCTCTCCCATATACTTTTATTAGATTACAATTTCGATAATTAACTTTTAATTATTTATCATTATCCAAATGTAATTGAGTTTAAGTGGATGCTCCATGTTGCAGATAATAATATGATCATTATCACATTATTTAATTTCAGATTAATTTAAATAATGATATTATTTAAAAATAAAATTAATCCAATTAAATAATGTGTGAAAATCAATTCAGAATTTATAACTCTAAATTAATTAATCTAATCCAACTAAAATCATGTTCATGTATTTTTAACGAAGCCAACGAGAGGAAATATGGACAATATAATTATGCAAGTTCTAACCAGTTAAGCTACAAGAAATATTTGAAAATAAAATGAATTACCAGTTATATAATCTAAAAAGTTTATCTATAGTCAACAAAAAAGAAAAATTGTTCCCGACGGATCCAGCAGGCATGACTGCCAGGAATTTCCGAGTAATGTATCTGCCACTGTTGAGCCTTATACTCCAATATCAATAAATACGTCACATGTTTTAGGGGCCGATTTTAGGTGTACATAAACCTCCGTTATGGGTAAACAGCTATAATTCTGTGTTTGCTCCTCGTGTTTTTGTTTTTGGGATTATTATTGCTTTCATAAAGGATTACGACTTAGTCTCTAGACATAGCAAACTTGCTATTCGCCCCCATCATGGGCCATGATTCATGGCTATTCTTTGTTGCATTATCAGAGGCAAGGTTCTACCCAGTCTTCGCCATCTCCAATTTTTTGATATTTTCTACTTTCACACGGAAACTGTTTGTGTAATTTTCTTTATTGAAATTGGAAGCAATCTCTTACCTTTGATTAGATGTACTAGACTGTGTCTAAGGAACATACAATTTTAATGAGCAATATATACATACTCTAGCAGTCAAGGCTAAGTGAGGACAAAGAATAAATTCAAATTTAAGTATTTTTCCTTACAGCGTTAGCCGACCCTCCACTAATTTATTAGCGTACAATCGGATAAAATTTATTAATTACTTAATTGCATCTTGCATTGACGAATCTAAAGAGAGACTTGAGATGTCTAATACATACAAATTAAACAAGTGAATTACATGAATAAAACTAGCAAAACCAACTAGTTAATCAAGCCATATACTTGATAGGTATTAAAATTTGTTTTTACCTCAATGATTAGCAAAACAAAGCTAGTTATTTGTATAGATTTGAGAACTCGAAAATTGATATTATTTTACAAATACTTAGAAAATTAGAAAATGGCATTAACTAGAGCAGAAACAATGCCATCCGTAGTCCCTGCATCTCTCCAGTCCAGCCAACAACTTGTTCGAATCATAGTCCACGCTTTCTTGTCTCCCGAAAGGGGCTTTTGATTTCAGTATTTAAAAAAGTCAAGATATGAATATTAAACAATTAGATTGATAAAGTAAATTTAAATGTTTACCTTTATTTCAGAAATTTTCTCTTGAATCTTGTGGCATAGATTGTTGTTGTCACGTACATCAAGTTCCCAATGTTGTTCCACCAGTTGAAGTAAGAATGCCTCCAAGAATGCTTGAGGACTAGAGTTGTAACAACTACCCCGAATCCAGTAATAAAACCAAATGCCATGCAGATGTAAAAGTCACACTTTATAAACTCATCATCATCTTCAAAACTATTCCCCTCTCTGTGATTAGTAGCAGAACTGTTAGAAATGTCTCCTGGACACTTAGCCATAGACTCTCCACAAAGTTGGCTATTCCCAGCGTATACAGAGGAGTTGAAACTTTGTAGTTGAGTGCCTAAAGGAAACTTTCCAGTAAAATTATTGTACGATAAGTCCAAAACGCTGAGAAATTTTAGATCTGCAAGGCTATTTGGTATTTCCCCTGAAAGCTGGTTTCTAGAGAAGTCCAAACTTTCTACCATCTCCATTTCACCAATGTTTGAAATAATATTTCCCGTCAAATGATTTCTAGATAAGTTCAAAAAAACTAAACCTCTTAAAGCAAAAAATTCTTGAGGAATAGTTCCGACAAACTTATTTCCCGATAGATCGATGCCTTTCAAAAGTCCTACTGTTCTCCATTCAAAATCTTGTCCTTTCCATTGAACAAAAGCACGGTTAACATACACTCTAGGTCGTCTTAAAAAAAAATTTGAAAAGAACCATCTTCAATTGAAGTATTCTTCTGAACTAAAGCCGTAAAATTGTTTAAACATCGCAATATTCTTCTTGAAATGTTGTTTCTAGAAAGGTCCAAGACATGGATATTGGTAAGGAGGCAAATTGTGGAAGGCATGATTCCATCAAATTCATTAAATCGAAGGCTAAGAACTATCAGACTTGTTAAGTGAGTTCCTATCCATGCTGGAATATTACCAGTTAACTTGTTTCTTCCCACATCAAGCGTTCTCAGCCCACTGCAATTCCTCAAAGTTGAAGGCAATTCACCAATGAAATTATTGCCACGCAAGTGTAATACTGCGAGCTGATCCAAAGTGCCTAAAGTGAGGGGAATCTTACTTGAGAACTTGTTATTTGCCAAATCCAGAAAAAATAATTCACTTATGTTCATCCAGCAATTAGGAAGCTCTCCTGCCAATTGGTTATCCGAGAGATCAAGCGTGGGGATGATGGAGCCCTTAGGAATTGTGCATAAGTGAAAAATGGATCCCGAAAACATATTTTTGAAAAGTTTTACTTCTGTATAATAAAAAAGAAATGATGGAATTGGACCTGAAATGTTATTGTAGCTTAAATCTATAATCGAAAGACGTGAGGACAAAATAGAACTAGACCGTGAGGAGAAAATAGAACTTGACCGTGAGGACAAATTAAGAATTTTACCCCTAATATTGTTATGAGAAAGATCCAAGTGTTTCAAAGAAGGCATATTCCACAACCAATTGGGTATTCCATCCGATATACCGGTAAAAGAGATATGAAGCAAAAGAAGAGAATTCTGAGTTTGAATCCAATTTGGAAAATGAGGGCCCAAATGACAATGGTTGAGCTCTAGAAATTGCAATTGAAAAGGAGGAATCCAATCTGAGCTCAAATTGAAAGTCAAGGAGTTCAAGGATAAATCAAGGACTTCTAAGTTGGCAAAGTTTGAGAGGTAACTTTCGGTGATTGTATCTTCCAACAAATTTGAAGACATATCTAAATAACTGAGATTTGAAAGTTTCTCAATACCTTCAGGCAGCCTTTTTAATTGATTGTAAGATAAATCTAAAGTATCAAGAACTAAAGCTTGCCCAAGGCATTGTGTGTGAGACGCATGCAACTTATTGTTACGAAGGTACAAAAGTGATAAGGATGAAAATGTGGTATTATCTGGCAAGAGACCAGTTAATTCATTGGATGATATATCTAGTGTATGTAAATTACGCAAAGAGCTTGGAATCCCACCGTGCAACTTATTGTCATTCAAAGAAAGATCTTCAAGAAAAAACAATTCCCCAAAGGAATCAGGAATAGGACCCTTTAATTGATTATGGGAGAGGTCAATGCGTTTAAGACTTGCACTAATGTTAAACATCCAGCGGAATGTGGAAGAGGAAGTGAGATAATTGAAGGATAGGTCGAGGATAGATAGTTAGGATAAAGAAGAATTGGTAAAGATATCAAAGGAAAGCACTGGGTTGGGAAGTTGATAGCTTGCTAAGTGCAGTTCCTCGAGGAAAGGGAACCTTGTTATGTGGTGCAACCAGCTGGTTTGATTTATAAGGTTAACGTCACTCAAGTCAAGATGTGATAACGAAGAAAGATGAGAAAGACAATCAAAATTCTTGATTCTCAAATTGTTATGACCAAGGTCAAGAGTATTCAGGTTTGTAAGGTTCCCAAGTTCGCAAAGAACTTCACCAGTGAAGTTTGAGTAACTGAGCCTCAAGTGCCTTAAGTTCTTGAAGGAACCAATGAATCTTGGTATTTCACTTCCTCCAAAATCATTTTGACTCAGGTCAAAATAATTCAAATGTTGCAAATCAAGCAGTGACGGGCTAAGCTTAGCCTTCAAACCAGTTCCGTTGCTACACGAGACGCCCTTCCATTTGCAACATTCCTTTTTATCTTCTTCACTTCCCCAGGATGACAAAAAGCTATATGCATCAACAAGATCATGCTTAAACTTCAGAAGAGCTTGTCTTTCCCTCTCTATGCACCCAACTTCAGCAGCAGATACTGAATTGAGCTTCATGCACAGTGAAAGTACAAACATCAACCCACTCAATAGTTTGATGAATCTGTTAATCTCCGTCATTTTCTCTGATATCATGTTTATAGTAATTAAAGACGATTGAAGTTTTTCAAGTATTGTGTGCTCAAGCAATCAAATTATATACGAAGATGCCTGTCCCACAATGAAGTAGATTTTACTACAATTTCTTATAGCGTGCATAATGGGCTATAACATGTGGTCTTCATAAACATCTATCATGGGGCCTCAATTACAACACAATGTCACTTAGTTGAAATACATTATTGCCCATTACTTTAAGCCTTTGTTTGGTCCCCATTATTTGCAAAATATATTATTCTCCCTATTATTTTGAACAATGTATTCTTCAATAAAATAATATTACACGTAAATAAAAAAAAATCTTATTTTTTAATCATACATACTCCGTCAAAATATTATTCTAAAATGTATTTTTCATCAAAAAATAAATGGAACTCAAACAAGCTTGGATACACAAAAATCAAATTTAAAAAAGAAGGTACAAACTGAAAAAGAACATAAAAATATAAGAGAAAATATAACAAAAATTCAAATATATCTTGAACCCACCCGTAAGCGTGCACAATGGGCTACAACATGTGGTCCTCATATACATCTATTCATTGGCCCCAATTCCTCTTAGTGTGCACAATGGGGTAGAAAACTTCATACACATCTATTCATGAGCCTCAATTACGATACAAAGTCACTCAAATCTACAAGTAAAATTATTTTATTGAAATAACGTATAATTGAAAATAAGTTTAAAGGTAAATGGGTTTATGAAGAATAAAGGGTCTCAAAAAAGGACTAAATATAATAAAAAACTAAATTTTATCTAACAAAAATTTACTAATGTATTTTTAAAGCCCCTACTTGACCCCCATTATTTGAGGAAAAAAGATTTTTGAATAATGATTTTTAGGAGAATTTGTGATTAAAAAATAGAAAAAACAAATTGGATTTATGTGTGCAATATTATATTGTGCGAATGTGTAGTTGAAAATGAGTATATATAAAAAAGAATTTAAAAATAATAATTGCCAAATAGGGATTTAAATTGCCTCAACTTCAATCACGTCATAGTTGTCAATGTTTCTATCATTCTCAAAATGTCGGAAGGAAGTTCCACACGGAAAGACTTTTCTTAGGATTCACACACATTGTACACGGAAAAAGACTTGGGTTTCACTAACTTTTTGAGTCACCGTGCAATCATTATTTATATTTACAATGAGAACCAAAAATGGTTCAAGTTGAAAATAAAAATGCCTTTACACACCAACATAATTTCACATCAATTGTGTTACAGTATAATAAGTTTATATAATTGTTTATATACACATAATGTGGTGAAATATAATTGGTTCAGAATTTCTTTAATCAAATAAAAAAGAAAAACTTTCTCACTTTTTTCAACACATCATATGCATATAAATCATTATGTAATTAATTATATACAAGTTGCATTATTCATTTCACATAGCAAGACTCAAAGATGTTCGTTATAAAACACTGTTAGTCACTCAATTTTTCGATTTTTAGTCTACCAAACCCGTCAATCATCAATTCTAATACTCATTTGAGTTTTTAAACTAAGAAGAATCGAGTTGAACCATTTGATTAATTCAAGAGTTTTGTCCAACCTTAGGGCCTACTTGGGAGTTTCAACTACCGGTTATGAACGTTTTTTAAAGTACAAATTTTAAGTGTTTATTAGAGGGGTTATGCTACAAGTACAGGGGCCTGATTTACAGGCCCCTGCCAGGTGAGACACAAGGGGGGGGGGGGCGCCACAATTTTATTTTTTTTATGCAGAGGTGGGGCCTGGCTTGGAGAGAGAGGCCTGTAAGGCCTCGATAAGTGGAAGCCCCTGCACTCAGGGCATTATTCTTATTAGAGAATTGATTTTTAGTGAGTTAGTAACGATTTTTAAAACTTTTCATCTCATGCTTGGGAGTTTATTATTCATCAATTCTGAAAGTTTTTAAAAAGAATAAAATTACATATATGTCCTGTGTCCATTAGTAAAATTTTCAGTTTATAATTTATTGTAAAAAAAAATTTCAACTCTTACAGGTATTTTTTTTTTAAATATAAGTTAACATTTAACTTAAAAATTAAGTAAAGTTAAATATTTACTTAAAATTTTAAGTTAATATTTTTTACTTATAAATAAATTTTATAATAAGTTAATGTTATACTTTTAAATAATTTTAAGTGAATTTTTACTCAAAAGTAATTATTTATATTTTATAAATAATATTTTATCTTATTAGTAGTATTTTTATTTTATAAACAATTTTTTTTACATAAAAATAATTTTTTACTTGTAAGTAAATTTTTATTTATGATAATTTTTCTTATCTTATAAATAATATTTTACTTATAAGTATTTTTTAAAATTATAATGTAAATTTTTTGCATATACATAATTTTTTAGTTAATGTATTTTTATTTATAAGTTAGTTTTGAAGAAAATATATTGATTGGAAATAATTATTTACACATGGTAAAATTAGAAGAGAACATAAGAAATAGTCAAAACCTACCGATTTGGTAGGTTGAGAGAATCGGTCAAAATTAAATTACATCATTTTTTGGACTTTTAAATCATCCAATATTGGTGCCCAAAAAATAGCAAATATCGACTTTTTTTTTTTCAACCTCTCATAAATGGTGCTATCCAAAATCGATAAAAATAAAACTCCTAAGTAGGCTCGTAGATAGTGGGAACATACAAAAAGAATAATTATTTGATTAGAGTCAATAAATCAAACAACAAATTGAAAAAAATAATTAGTTACTTGGCAAATTTATTTATAAAAATAAAATAAAATAATTTGATTTATTCAATTTAAAAAAATTAAAAAAATTGATAGATTCGATTCTTAGTCTACCAAACCCGTCAATCATCGATTCTAATACTCATTTGAGTTTTTGAACCAAGAAGAATCGAGTTCTATTCACTTGATTGATTCAAGAGTTTTGTCTGACCTTAGGGCCTACTTGGGAGTTTCATCTATCGATTATGAGCATTTTTTAAAGTACAAATTTTGAGCGTTTATTAGCGAATTGATTTTTAGTGAGTGAGTAACGATTTTAAAACTTTTCAGCTCATGCTTGGGAGTTTATTATTCATCAGTTCAGAAAGTTTTTTTTAAAAAAAAATTACATATATGTCCATTAGTAAAATTTTCAGTATATAATTTATTGTGTAAAAAAAATTCAACTCAAAGAGTGTTATTTTACTTAACAGGTATTTTTTAAAAAAAATATACGTTAATATTTAACTTAAAAATTAAGTAAAGTTAAATATTTACTAAAAATTTTAAGTTAATATTTTTTACTTATAAATAAATTTTGTAATAAGTTAATGTTATACTTTTAAATAACTTTAAGTGAATTTTTACTTATAAGTAAATATTTATATTTTATAAATAATATTTCATCTTATTAGTAGTATTTTTATTTTATAAACAATTTTTTTTACATAAAATTAAATTTTTACTTATAAGTAATTTTTTATTTATAATAATTTTATTACCTTAGTATTTTTTAAATTATAATGTAAATTTTTTGCATATAAATAATTTTTTAGTTAATATATTTTTATTTATAAGTTAGTTTTGAAGAAAATATATTGATTTGAAATAATTATTTACACAGGGTAAAATTAGAAGAAATCATCAGGAATAGTTAAAAACCTGCCGGTTTGGAAGGTTGAGAGAATCAGTCAAAATTAAATTACATTATTTTTTGGATTTTTAAATCATCCAAAATTGGTGTCCAAAAAATAGCAAGTATCAATTTTTTTCAACCCTCGTAAACGGTGCTATCCAAAATCGATAAAAATAGAAACTCTAAGTAGGCTCGTAGTGGAAACATTAAAAAAGTATAATTATTTGATTAGTAAGCTCCTGTTGGATGGCCATTATTTTAAGAAAATTGAGTTTTGAATAGTGATTTTTGAAGAATATGTAGTTAAAAAAAATTAGAGTTTACGTGTAAAATATTTTATGATGTAACTGTGTGTTAGAAAATGGGTAAGAGAATTAAAAAATGGATAAAGCCGAGGTGACAGAAAATGGATGCCAGAAGGGGTGATCGACCCTCACATGCTTTGTGGGTCCCAAGTGAATTAAATAATGCTCAATCCCCGAGGTGTGTCTATTAGGTCATCCTTTATGTTACCATAGCATGTTCCTTAAAAAAATTTGAAATAATAATTATCAGAAGGCTAAATTTGGAATGAAGAATGCTGAGGTGACCGAAAATGGGTGACCGAATGGATGACCTACCCTCACATGGATGTGGGTCCCAAGTGAATAAAATAATGCCCCGACCCCGAGGTGTGTCTTTTAGGTCATCCATTAGGTTACCATAGCATGGTCCATTTGGAATTGACTTATTTGTACAACTGAGCTGTGTTCATACACAATTTCAATGGGCGTGTTGAATCTTGATGCGGACTGGTGCAATAATCAATAAACAGACAAATATGTGCAATTAATTAATGAGAATTGCTACTGGTACATCAGTCTATACATCAAGGTCTACATAATTGCTGACGTGGTGATATTTGATCTCTCACTGGAAGATAACCCCCGGCGTCAAACCCTTAATCCCCCAACCCCCAAATCATTGGCTCCCGGCGTGAAGGCTTCGTCAACATCTGTGTGGCTGCAAGCAAACCCGCCGTTCACCCGAAAACTCAACACGGCCCTTTCTCTTGCTGTCGACGGACCCAAATCCCTTCGAAAACGAACCATAAATTTCGATCCCTGCCAACTCCGAAAATTTCGTTTTGCAGAGAAGGTAATTGTTGCAACCAAGCACAATGATGATGAGCAATACATCTGGGAATCTCAAGTTGAGAATGTGTGACAAAGAAGAGAATCAACTATTTTATGTGTAGAAATTGAGGTTATTATAATGTTGGGATGATAATTTGGCTAACGATGATTTATGGTTTATTCTGGACCGTGTGCAGTTGGAATACCTGGAGGAGAGGAGAATCAAGGATCTCGTGAAGAATCAAG